ACACACACACACACACACACACGATATTTACCTTTATCAGAAAAAAACAATCTCCATCCATAATATGGAATATCTGCATTTCTGCCAATGTCTAAATTATCTGAATTATAATTTGTTTCACTTTGATCTAAAATAAAAATAAATAATTTATCCATTTTAAAGAAACATAAAATATTATACACTTATTCTTCACAAAACAATAACAGGCTCCAAGGAATACATCAAATAACGTAAAATAAAGCCAAATGTGAGTCATCACAAGATCTTCATGTATTTAAAAATAAATATAACGCTGCACTCCAAAATTAACTACCAGTATTGAAAAACTATAGTACACGTAAAACGTAAACTACAGATTTTTAGTACTAGCAGTAAATTTTGAAACACAGTCTTAGTTGTTTATTTCATTACAAGGATAAATAGTGGTAGGATAATCGTGTCCTTAGCGACCTAGTTAGACTGCGTAAGATTTTGTGCAAATTAAAAATTTGGATTCATTTTCGTGTTTTACATCTTTTTGATACTAATTTTAATAAGTATATAAAAATTTAATTTTTAAAAAAGATTTTTCAGTGTTTCATCATTTTTTTACTGATAATATTGATATAATTCAACATTTATGGAGAGATGTAGAATGTAGTCCAATTTAATCAATACTAAATAATATTTTCAATTTTTTAAATTTTCTAATTAATTACATATTTTATATGAATTTAGACTGTTTTCTTTATATTTATTTGTCTTTATTTATACTTTATTCTATCTAATTGTATTAAATTTTGAATGTGTTTGATTCTTACTTTGCCTTTTATTTATTGTTATTTAACAGTCAATTTTTTCCAAAATTATTAATAATACAAAAAATGTTTCAGATAAAAGTGAACCCATTTCAAAGGGATATTTTAATCTTATTATTTTTCTTGTGAGTGGAGGTGACAAAAAGATCACGAATCACGATCACTTTTTTAAATAGAATTATATAATTTTTTACATAATATGATATTCTTCTAATTTTTCTATATATGAAAACACTAAAGTAGATATAAAAAAAACCAATAGTTTACGAAACATTTTATATTTCATTATGACATGTATTCATATAAAATGTTAAATATCATCGTAAACTATTAATTTTTTTATTACCGTACTTTGACACTTTTATGAACAAACTAATGAGACGAGTTAATTGATGTAAAGAAAACACATAATTGTTTAAAAAAAATATGTAGACAAAATGGAGACTTTTTTAAATGAACAACTATGTTTTCTTTATATCAATCGATTCATGTCGTTATTTTCATAAAAATATTAAAATATAATAATAAAACAATTAAAATTTACGAGATATTTAACATTTTATGTCAAAATATGCCAGAATAAAGTATAAAATATTTTTTAAGTTATTGTTGGTTTTTTCATATTTCTACCTTAATACTTTAATATGTTAAGTAATTGAGGAAATCTATAAAGGAATGTAAAGCTGAAATTCCTTCAGAAAGAGATGTTCATTTTGTCATTGATCAAATGATAGAAAAACTAAATATACTGTGCTTTATATGGCAAATCAGTATCGAAACATCATACACATTATATAAGCTATGCCATATAATATACTTTTTTTATTTTAGAATCTTTATAATTATTTTGGTTAAAATAAGAGGAATTTAATAATTAGTATGTTATAAAAATGATTTTATTTCTTTCACAAAAAACTTGATCTCTTTTTCACTTATAAAATCTTCATATTTCAGTATGTTCAAATAAATCAACTTCATGAAGCCCCAACGATATAATTACATTTTTAACCTGAAGTATATAACCTAAAGAATTACAAATAGCATAAAGATTTTTTTCATTCATTTACATAAAAATTATAAATTCTTAATATATATGTTTTTTCAAAACTTACATACTCGTATATCTAAATTTATAAAAAATAAATAAAATAGAATCTGGTTTCTATTATGGTAAAAATTTGTTGTCAAAGTATAAAAGAATTTCACAAATGTACAAAACTATAAAGCAAAAAAATCTGCTATAGTTCCAAAATGTAGACTTTAGATCAAAAATTTCATATTGTTGATGGAAAGTATCTGTACATTTGTTATATACATACATTGTTTACATTTTGGGAAGTTAATATAAGTATGGTATTTATTCAGAAGACGCATCTCGCCTTCAATGAAATTATGCTCATTCAATGCATTTTAAAAATAAAACGAAAGAATCTGGCAATAAAATGTACTCAGTCCTGCAAAGCAAGATATTAATCGTAAAAAGTTGATTTTACAATGAGTCTGTAATTGGTAGTCCTAAGTCTCATCGGTGAATCAGTGAAGTTGGCCAACAGCCAACTTGTACGATTAATGCCAAATTTCTTCGCGTCTAGATAACTACATCCAAAGATATCTCCCAAAATACAATGGAAATATCTCTCAGATAAGGTTATCCGCAACTTATCTGGAAGTAAAGAAATTGGGCATTAGACTACTGATTTTCTTAAGACTGATCAAATTCGACTTTATTCCTTCCCATTAGTCGAGCTAAACGACTATAAACTCACTACAACTAACAACTAGTAGATGCGAAAAATTAGTCGCCTAGGTTAAAACTGGTTAAGATCGATCAATGCGATGCTACGCTTTGAAGCGTTTTTTATTTGGTCAGTTGTAAAATTCTTTCTTTTAATTGGTCCATCAAACGCTTCAAAGCATTTGTAATAAGACTTGGACCACAGCCCAAAACTCAAGATTCCCAACTACCGACTCATTGTAAAATCAGGATAAAATTTTGTTAGGTTAGGAAATCTGCCACATCGATGGCATAGAGGGTTACACAAATTATGTTTTATAAACACAAATTATCTGTTTTAAAAACTCAAATTCTCTACTATAAAAACAAAAATTATTAATTAGAAAATATGTCCTCTATGTAGAATAAATTATGTAAAAAATGTATCTTTCTAAAGTAGAAAATTTGTATTTTTAAAGCAGAGAAAGTGTTTTTAAAGCAAAGAATTTATATTATATAATCCTCTATGCCACGATATGACAAATTTCCTAATCTAACAACTTAAACAATTAAAAAAAAAACTTTAACGATTAATATCTCGCTTCGAGGAACTGAACACAACATTTTATTGTCAGATTCTTTCGTTTTATGCAAAAATATATCGAATGAGCATAATTTTATTAAAATTAAAGATGAAGAATGTCTTCTGGATAATTATCCATAAAAAATAAAAAAATTAATGTAGAAAATCTCAATACTTACTTAGTTCAATAGATTTCTCGATAGTTTGCTTTTTTATCCGTTGCTTTTTTCTCTTTTTTAAAAAATTTGATTTGTCTCCCATAATAATCTATAATACGTATATACATATATGTGATATAATTATTCAGGATACCCTCCTTATGCTTAGACATACATAAATAGAAGGGGAATAGAGCGCCGAGCTTGATGCAAAAATCTGTGCGAGAAAGAAAGGTAATAATGGACAAATATTAGTAAATGCGTCTGTTCCTCGTTCCTGCTGTCCATCATCGCTCCATAGTTGAATCCTTGCTTAGCTGCGTTCGGTAATGCAAATCTGAGGCGTCGGAGTGCTCTTATATTATAGCATATATCACGTGCACTAAAAAAAGAGCACTCCGATGCCTTAGATTTGCGTTGCCGAACGCAGCCGACCCCACACGCGGTATTTGAACAAAGAACGCCGGAACCGACGCCGCATTGAGAACATTTATCCCTTACTATCTTTTTTTCTCGCACAGATTTTTGCATCAGCGCGAGCCATAGGCAAGTATGAGCATTTATATTGGCTGTAACCGTATGCCGTATGCTGTAATCTGTAAGAATTGACTAATCACAGTCGAGTATTCCCCTCTCATTCAACTATAAGAAGGGAATATTAACAATGATTGGTTAATTTTTACAGATTACGGCATATGATTACGGCCAATATAAATGCTCTCTAATGCATCGTCTATAATACACAGAGTAAGAAGTAAGAGTAAAAAATTGACCAATCACAGTCGAATGTGAGAAAAATAATCGATTGTGATTGGTCAATTTTTTACTTCTTACTCCGTGTATTGTAGATGACGCATAAGATGATGCGTAGTCTACAATGGGCAGTAGCAGTAGTGGATTAAGGAGTAGACATAGAAATCGACCAATCATAGTTGATCATTATTTTTCTCACATTCAAGTATAATTATAGACCATTATAGACCATGCAAAAAAATTGAAGCATCGGATTGGTAAAAGCAACAAGCTTGTGACTTGCGACGTCTACGATACGACCGATGTAGAATGGCCTTAAATCCAACAATCGTAACGATGAATGACGGATGTCGTACGTAATGTAAATTCTACATTTCAAGTACGCTAGGTTTGTTCGGAACTACTCCAAGCAGCTCCCGAGAGACAAAACGAACGCTAATAAATCTAATTTTTCAGAATCAAGGTAAATTTTCACGAACTGCTCTAATTGGCTGTTTCGGCGACAAAAAGCGATTAAAATGAACGCTTGATATTCGTCAATTTTGACTATGTGATCCTTTTTGTCGCTAAAACAGCCGGTTTGAACAGTTCGTGAAAATTTACCTTCAGTTAAACATTCGATTCTTGAAGATGAAAAAGAATCGATTCTCGAGGCATCGAATCAGAATCTGGCATCACGAATCTATACTTATTATGTTACATCTATGGTCGTAGCGAATGTTCCGCCATCATCGTCACTCACAGTCACTAGTAATACTAGTATACGCCATTTTTCCTTTGTCGTTCGCTTACGCTTGTTTGATCACTGATCGTCATAACTGTCAACGAAGATTCCACGTAATCTCACGCATCTTACTACAAGGACCGAGGACGTGACGCTCGAGAGGGAAGAATGAGTTACGGTAGGCCACCGCCCCGCATCGACGGGATGGTTTCCCTGAAAGTCGACAATCTCACGTATAGGACGACACCGGAAGATTTGAGGCGCGTGTTCGAGCGATGTGGCGAGGTTGGCGACATTTATATTCCCCGGGATCGCTTCACGCGCGAAAGCCGCGGCTTTGCGTTTGTCAGGTGAGCCACGTTATCCCGTTTCAATAATCGCGTCTCGTAATTGTGCACGCCCGCCATATGGGCGGTACATTCAATTAACCGCTCTCTTGTGGGCAATGGTGTGCCTTTGATACACGCCAACGGTGATGGTGACGTCACGATGCGAGCGCATTAGTTCGCAAATCGGCGTTTCCGAATGGAACGCTATACTCCTATATGTTAAGATGACCAACCGTCTCAAATTAGAAGTCTCAAATTTTGAGTCTATTTTCCGTGGCTTAACTAAGGTACACATTTTCGAACTTAAAGTGAGATAAGTACATGTTTTATATTTGGCGAAAGCAGGAAAGAGAATTCTAGTATCAAGTACTTATCATGGAACATGTCGGAATTTTGATCGGAATCATTCTGGTTTTTCTAGAAAACAATAGAAATCTAGAGAATAATTGAATAATTCCGATCGGAATTCATTCCGACTTGTTATTAGGAGGGGTGTACTTTCGAAAATGTGAACCCTCTGATTTTCTTCTCGATTGATATACTACTGTATTTGATGCTCTAATTACGAATATGATCGTGAAAATTATTAACAAGATCATTTTCAAGGTCAAATATTTAAAAAACGATTTTTTTCACATTTTTTCACGCTTTTTTCGTAGAAAATAAGCGTCCCTTTGCATTGGGGAGGCAGGGGGGATGAGAGTCGCTTTGCGTGAAAGTCGAAACCCACGTGCAACAATACAATTATGGAAGTCGTGTGCCCTTAGCAGAGGGAAGGTGAGCCAAAATGAACCAAAAAAATCTAACAGCCCTACTTGTGATCACATAAAATGTAAAAGTTTATATTTAATCGTAAAAATGATCTTGTCAACTATTTCTATGATCATATTTATAATCAGCACACACAAGTACAATAGTACAGATAAAAATCGGTTTTTAAATATTTGACCTTGAAAATGATCTTATCAGTAATTTTCATGATCATATATATATTCGTAGGGTATCAAAATATAGTATACCAATTAACAAGAAAATCAGGGGATTTACCTTTTCGGAAGTACACTCCAATATTGAATTTTTTTTTAATGTCCCTCTCTCTTTTTGAGGAATTGGTCATCTTACATATGTATTTTTTGTTATAATACGATTTTTTTCGAACGACTTAATATAAAGTAACAACATATCTTTAATACCAAGATTATTAGGGCGATGTCACAAATCATTTTTGAAATTCACATGTTTTATATACATGATAAGTCCATTTTAATCAATTCAGTCAATTTTCTTTGAAATTATTAATGATACGAAGAAATGTGTTAGATGAAAATGGAACGGTTTTGAGAGATATGTATTCTGGTCATGTTTTTCTTCTAGGTGAAGGCGTAAAAAAGATATGAAAGTCACCTCTTTTTTTTAAATAGAATTATATAATATGATTTTTTTTATCAGACATAGACTGATTTCTCTAATTCTGCATATAAAAGTATTAAGGTAGAGTATAAAAAAAATCAATAGTTTACAAGTATTTTATACTTTATTCTGATACATTTTAACATAAAATGTTAAATATCTCATAAACTTTCAATTTTTTTTATTATCATACTTTAATATGGTTATGAACAGAATAATAAATTGAATCGGTTGATATAAAGAAAATACATAGTTGCTTATTTAAGAAAGTATCCATTTTGTTTACATATTTTTTCTGAAGCGACTGTCTTTACACCAATTTTTGATCCATCTCATTTTTTTGTTTATAAAAATATTAAGGTACGATTATTAAAAAATTATTAATTTATACGCACGCACGCGCGCGCGCGCACATACACGCGCGCGCGCGCGCGCACACACACACACACACACACACAAAATATTTAACATTTTATGTCAACATGCCAGAATGAACTATAAAATATCTCGTAAACTATTGGTTTTTTTTATATCTGTACTTTGTAATTTTTATATAGCTGAATAACTAGAGGAATCATTAAAAATATTATAATTTCATTTAAAAAAGTGGAGATGAATCTTTATATCTTTTTGGTGCCTCCATCTAGAAAAAAAAACCTAAAATATCCAAAATAAATAAATAAAAACAATGCAAAATATGTTCCTCTCTAAACTATTCCACCTTTATGTGAAACATTTTTTTATATTATTAATAATTGGAAAAAAAATCGATTATATTAATTAAAATGGATTACTTTATACATATCTGTGTGATGTAAAATCGAAAAATTTCATCGCTCTCACCTTATTACTTTTATATAATCCGATTTGGAAATAAACGCGCTTTATTTATTATTTTTATAACAGGGTACAAGGATACTACAATTGAAAGAACTAGAAAAATCGAGAAAAATCATGGAAATTTAAATTGGTCGTAGAAAATCTGAAACAATCAGGGAACTAGTATAAGAGTATAGAATTTTGAGCTTTGCTCAATTTCCTAAAAATGCTTTTATTCTAAACAATATTGTTAAAATTAAGAAAAAAATATCTAATACTTCTAATCAAATACTGATTTTTTTTATAGTGAATTCGATTGAACGTACTCAGTGCGCATTCAAGACGTTGTACACAAAATAAACATAAAGATCGATGTTTGTACATAAACATAAAAATCGATTAAAAATCTTGAAATACTCAATAAATTTATTGTACTATTAAGTGAAATATGTGTTTTATAACTTTAAATATTTGCATTTCACTTTTATACACAAATTAAATCAGTGTACAATGCTTTAATGTGCACCAGTGCGCACTGTGCTTCCAATCGAATTCATCGTTACTCAATATTGCAAACTATGTGTACTAGACCATGTATCATTATGTAAAAGAAATTTAATTATTGTTTAAATGTAGAAATTAGACATTTCTCACAATGTCAAGTTTATTTTTTGTTTTAATTTTTGTACTGTTTAATATTTTTTCCTCTTATGCTTCCAAAAAAAAAAAAGAAAAAAGAAAAAAAAGAAAAAATTAACGTAGGCATTAATTCTGATTCGGACGATAATGTTCTTGGATAACCCCTGAAATAGAAGTCGATCGGACGAATATAGTTCGTTTGGAATCGTGATCGTCATGTTCAAAAACACGGCTTCGAGAAAAACGCGTTTAAAGTTTTGAAATATTTTAGTACAAATACCGCTCTTTTTTCCATTAGAAACGAAAGATTTTCACGTAAAGCGAGATTCACTTCGCCTCCCTTCTAGTCTAAGAGAAAGTCGGTGGGGTGGACTTCACTTCGCGTAGAAAGTCTTACGCCCCTGATAGAATATAGTTTTTAATCCTTCATAGTCACCGTGAGTCAAAATGACCCGAACATGTAAATCATCTCAAGAGGATTAGGCGAATATGCATTTGAAAATATTATAAATTTAAAAAGTTATTTTTTCAGTAATAAAACTCATTTTTCCGAAGTTAACACGTTTGCGGTTTTTCTTAGTGTTAAAATTAAATTTTTTACTACGTTATTGTTCCATTTTCTCAAAGGATAAAATTACTGTAATTTTTTGAAGTCAATGGAACTAATACTATTGATTTGATAACACTTAATAAAAAATAGTCATTTTAACCATCGTGTAGCTTTTTTGAAATGTGACCATGAAGGATTAAAATTGTGTATGGTAAAAGTAAGACATTTTTTAAACTTTATTTGTTAATAGCTTTGAATGAACAGTAATCGTCATCTAAAACCTTTTCAAGGTCACTTATGTACAACATCCATTCTACATAAAGTTTTGTATACAGAAAATAAGGAAATTTTTAAAATTAGTCTTATGTAAATATATCTCGAAAATTATAAGAGACACCAATTAATTCATAAGAAAAAGTTGATTAGTACTCTTACTTTTATAACATGTTAAGGTCATCGAAGAGGTTTCCTCTAAAAGAAATACCTTTGTTACATACAATGTTAAGAACTATCGCTATCGCAAACCCTTCTCTCTTTGCGTTATGATTCCACACAAAGTGAAGGAATCCATCCCATTTCCCTTTTGCCTATGGCGTCCGACTTTCCATTAAGCGAGGTCCACTCCATCCCCCTTTCTTACAGGGCAATCGATTTTCTAAGCAGGGAAAATATAGTGTGGATCTCGCTTCGCGGGAAAATTTGAACATCTCTAAGCTGGGGGAAGTGAGATGGAGTCATGAGGCCTGTTCTTTTTGGTTGAACTTTTGCACCAGTTCATCTTTTTCCCTCTTCTTTCCTTCTGGAGAGAAAAGGAACAAAGATGAACTGATGCAAAAGTTCAGCCAAAAAGAACAGGCCTATGGAGTCTCATCTTCGCCTTGTATGGAAAGTCATTACGCAAGGGGAAAAGTGTGGGATAGTCAGATTTCTATATGTGTAATATACAAGATGGTTTAAAATAATCTTTTGTCCTTAAAGATACATATTCCTGACCATATTTTGAGATGATTTTTCCTTTGTCAAAAATTTGTCCGAAGCTTCGTTTTTAAGTTATAAAAAGAAATAGTTAGCGTATCACAAGTCAAGTACGACAGATAAGCAGGGGTGACGCGCTCACCGATGCATGTGAGTGCTTACGCTCCTATTAGACTCAACAGTTACACGACAGTATGCACGTCTACAGTATACATTCGAATTTTCTCTCTTTTTCTCCCTCTTTCTCACACACGCGTGCGCGCGTATTTAAATATATTTAATATAGTTTTATCTTGAAATTGATATTTAAATAATCTGATATCTATGTAAAGTTACATTTGTAATGGAAATTCATTGCAATAAATTTTTATTTTGGACAATAATCTAACGGAAAATTGTTTATCCATCTTTCTTCATGAATTATCAAAAGCTGGAGTTATCAAAATTATCGAAATTATCTCTACAATATGTTTAATAGTTTTATACTTATAATTTTATACTTTTTAACTCGAAATTAACTTTGGTTTATTCCATATTATTAATTGGTTCAGTGTTGAGGAAGAAGCATAGTCGTTTCTCACAAGAAACGTTTTACTTAAAACGCGATTTGCAAATACTTATGTCGACTTCGCGTTATTATTTTGTCTAATTCTACATTTATATAAAAAATTCTTTAATACTTAATTTTTATTAGAAATGTACGTACAAAGATGACAAATGTTTTGGTATTATTTACAAGTTAAAGTTAGTAATAATTAATCTAGATAACTGAATAAGTGAATAAGTGCGAGGAATTAGAGAAAGGAGGGAGGAGAGAATAATCCCAAATCTTGTTTGTGTAAAGATAAAAATATTTATCTTGCTTAGAATATAAGTGAATCACGCAGTGCTACATGAGGAAAATGTATAGATAGTTAAGGATAGTTATATATGTTAAGGAAAGAAATGAAATATACTGAAAATATTAAAGCAGTAAGTCGAGCATTTTGAATATATTTCTTGGCAGATTTTATGATAAGCGCGATGCGGAAGACGCATTAGATGCCATGGATGGAAGGCTGTTGGACGGTAGGGAACTCCGAGTTCAAATGGCGCGGTATGGACGTCCGACGTCTCCGCATCGTAGCCGTGGAAGTCGTCGTCGTGGAAGGTAAATTTGTGTTGTTTTTATTTTAGAGTGTACAAATAGAACAAAAGAGGGGGGGAGGGGAGGGGAGGAAGAAAGGGGAATGGAGGGATGGAAAGAATAAATTATTTTTCAGTGCACATAAATATTTTGTTTATTAGAGAAATTTTCGATTATTTATTTACAGATCACGAAGTAGAAGTAGAGATCGCAGGCGTTCGCGATCTCGATCCCGTAGTAGGTCGCGTAGTCGTGACAGAGACCGCAGGCGCTCTTACAGCCGCAGCCGTAGTCGCTCTCGTTCGGATAGCAAGAGCTCACGTGGCAAATCACGCTCGCGTAGCAAATCTCAGGACAGGCAAAAAGATAGTCGTTCCAAATCCAGGTGAGAATTGCCTCGGTTAATTTCGAGATAAGAAAGTAAGTCTTCACGTTTTATTAAATCATTGAAACGTTTTTCTCTCATGATTTATCAATTGTTATGTATGTTTCCAGGGACTGAACTAATCGAAGAGTGTGCGAGAGGATAAGAATGAATGCGCGCGTATCCAACGAGTGCCGAATAATCTATATTGAGATTGAAAAAAAAAAAGGTATTCCATTACCCTCTATAGCAACACTCGCACGCTTCTTCTATCATTTAAATACATACATTACTATGGATTTCACATCAATTTGGATACGTAATTAGTTTCTCTATAACATAAATATTCTTTTTTTTTTCTTATATGCTTCTTTATTCGCGCTATATACATAGTTTTGACAGTTACACCGCTCCTGTTTCATGATTAAATTAATAAAAATTTTGCTCGCGTGATCTAACTTTGGATTGTTCTTCGTATTTCAATAAGAAATTCTAGTTGGTAAATTTTATGATATAAGATTTTATGTATTACACATTTCATAAAACTAAGAATCTACATGTATCATTCGCTATTTTTGGTTAAGATCAATATTACAAACTGGAAGTAAAGGTCTTTACGATATTTTATTCTTCTACTTTTTGAATCATTATCTGTTTTTTATCAGTATATTATAGTGTTACGCTGATAAAACTCAGTACATACTTTCAAATAATGTTGACAAACATTGTTTGCGGATAAAATTCACTTGCAAATTTTTAGGTACGCATTGTAAGTAATGAGCATTTTACAACTAACTCTTTTTGAAGACTCAAAACTTAGATAAATGTAAAAGAATTGTACTATGAGATGTTAACTTTGCGAATAATATCCGGATTAATATTAATATCTTATATTTTCATTAATATAATATTTATAAGATTGTAATTTTGTTAACATCTATTAATAATCAACGAAATTAATTATACTTTTATTGATCTAATTAATATCAATTTTATAGATATCAAGACAATTTTAAATATAATGCAAATGTTTATATGATTATTTTTTAAGCTTTTAAGAAAAAAATAAAAGAACTATTGATGTCAATAGTGAATATTATATTTCTAATATAACATTAATATAATATTTCTATGTAAGATAAAATACAAATATAATTTCTTGAAAGCTTAAAATACAACAAATTGATTGAAAATTGAAAAAATATTTCGATAATTTTCCTAACGTCCCACAAATAATGTTTGTCAATAATCTTTAGGTGTACTAAGCTCAAAGGAAATCTTTTAATAATTGAGAATGAATTCAAAGTTTTAGGTTTATTTTCACGCACGACAATACATTTCTAGAAGTAAGTTTTGCGTTGATAGGCAATCGTCTATGTAAGTTTGCACTTCGTAGATTCATTTGTAATAAAGCGCAGTGAATTGCTGAGAAGACAAAACTGCCTACGTATTCTTTGTTTTTCCTTTGTGAATTTTAATGTGTAAATGGATGATTCATCTAAGTTATTCATTAAAATAACTTTTTAATTACAATGTATTAGGAACGAAGTATTATAAAGTAGCTTTTATTAGAATATAGATCTTTTCCAGGCACTAATAATAAAATAGTTGTCGCTGCTTATTCAGCTTTACTAATAAGGAAGATAACCATGTAAACATCTTATTAGTCTTGCAATACGATAGTAACAAAATATTTAGGCAAAATATTTGTATTAGGCGCATAATATATGTATATATATAATTCATTGAGTGATATGTAGGAGAAAGAAAAATATGTTTTCTTTTAGTAAGTACAATTTAATATATACATTCACAGTGTGTAAGAAAAAGATAATTTAAAATTACAACATTTTAAATGTTCAACATTTTAAAAGTATATATTTAATATATGTTTCTTTCCGAATACATGTTACACATATGTACACGTTTATACATGTATATATAAAATATTAATATACATGTGTATGTATATAATTGCATTAATTTATATACATTAGAGAGGCCCTTATTTTTTTATTTTTGAATTTTTTCCGTGACTCTCCCAAGAATGGTTTCAATCTGCAAAGAAATAATTCTTACTAAATATCAGTTTGATTGGATAATGGGAACCCATATCTTTGTTAAACATTTGAATTACCTTGTATTAAACTTTCTACACTATCAATAGTTTTTAAAGTGTATTTTTCACAAAAATTGATGTAAAACTTATCTTCTTTTTATCATGTGTGCCTTATTTTTCTGCATCGTTTGAGATCTTATGTTTCATTTAAATAATTAGGTGAATTGTTAATGATTAAGAAAATAAAAATAAATAGTTATTGCATTTTTTTAATTATTTAAGCTGCAAAAATTGGACTAAAAATATCTATGGACTAAAAAGTGTAAATGGATGATCCATCTAAGTTATTTATTAAAATAACTTTTTAATTACAATGCATTAGGAACGAAATATTATAAAATAGCTTTTACTAGAATATAGATCTTTTCCAGGCACTAATAAAATAATTGTCGCTGCTTATTCAGCTTTACTAAAACGTAAAAACTAAAGACTAATAGCTTTTTAATTTTTTTTCTCTTTTTTTCTTTTTTCTTTTCTCTCTTTTTTTTCTTTTTCTTCTCTCTCCCCCCTTTTTTTAAGAATAAAACATTGTATCTCTTTTTAAACATTTTTAATACCTTAAACGTGCTTTAAGTATTAGGTTGATACAAATAAAATGTCGGTTTTCTATATTACTGTTAAAAGCAACTGTAATTTATTAAAAAATGAAGAAAATTTAAATTTACAAGAGGATTTTACAGCTTAAAAACTTTACTTTTAAAAACTTACTATATTTTTTGAATTTACTATATTTGTGTGAGTTTGGTAATTTTTACATATAGAAAACTACCAGCTGAAAATAATGAAAAAATGTTCTCATTTTGTAGATGCGTGACGTGCCTCCCCTTCTCTCCAAAATTGAGCCTACAAAATTGTTTTTTTAATAATGTAGTACACAAGAAGGGCAAAGAGCCAGTAATATAAAAGAATTTTAATTTAAAATAGCAAAATTCATACAAAACAATTACAATTAACGACAAACGTTTCGACTTCAATTGAGTCATTTTCAATGTAGTCTTAATATATCAACATCGTTCTAAATCAAAAATATGCACATGGTCTTACAATATTATTATAATTCTTTAATCAAATTTTTCATTCTGTGTAGTACGCTGCTGTTTTTTAAATAATTCTTATAATTTTTTTGTTCCTAAGTTACTCGCGGATTAAGTAAATAGAGCATTCTGATTTTAATTACTCATAACTTTTTAACGTTAAAAATCATTATATCGCAATAAAAAAATTATAGATTCTTAAAGCTGAAACTTAGCTCTATCGAATGGTACAATCGCTACCTTTTAAAAAATATTGTAGAATATTACCTATATTTGGAAAAGAAAAATCATTATTTTATACAGAAAACCAACATTTTATTTGCATCATAATAGTATTATAAAAAATGTATTTAAAACTTGTTAAAAACATCAATATATAATTAAGCATGTTTTAAACTGTTTAAAACATGTTTTTTTTTATCAATCCTAGATAGAAATATGAACAACAAAGTTCGAAACATGATGAATTTCATGTTTCTATTAATAAAACAGTTTTGTACAATTTAACATTATGTAATAATTAGTAATTATATTATAATCGTAATTTTATTAGTCAGCACTACCTTGAATAATTCCCCAAGTTAATAAAAAAAAATTTATGAAATTTTAATTCGATTTAATGATGGGAAATTGTGCCCTTGGCTGTTTTTTTATATAAATTATCAAACCTCAAATCACTCACATGATTTTAAAATTGATATCTGTGTTATACTTGTCATCATTCCACACGTTTTTTGTTCAACAAGAAATGAAGTCTCCCAGAAGCTATGTCCAGATTTCCATCCAAGTGTCATCTAAGTATCATTTTATCCTTATTTAAAAATGATACTTCAGTACTTGGTGAATCTGAACATAGTTCTGGGATTTTATTTATCCTTATTAATCCCCCTGAGAGAGGATCTTACCTTGTATAACACAGATTTTAAAATAACTGAATAATGAAATTTGTAACAATCATGGGCACGATTTTTCCTTTTGAATTGAATCAAAGTTTCATAGATTTTTTTTTTAGTAACTTGACATTATTCAAGATAATTTTGATAACTAATAATTATGATTGTAATGTAACTATTAATTATGTAATGTTAAATGTAAAAAACCATTTTATTAATAAAAACATGGAATTCATCATATTTTTATCTCATTTTGTCTCTCAAACATACTATTAACACTTTCTTAGTCCATAAGTTAATTAATTTTTGCAATTTGAATAGTTAAAAAATGCGATAACTATTTTTACTTTTTTAATTAACAATTTACCTAAATTGTTTAAAAGAAATGTATAACATTTTATACAATGCAAGAAAATAATTTTTGTGAAAACTACGTTTTAAAAACAGATATTGATAATGTAGAAAGTTTAAGGGACTCAATGTTGTAACGAGCCGGAGGCAGGTTCCCATTGTCGGCATGAAATTTGACGAGGATTATTTTGTTGTGGATTGGAACCATTTCACTTGGGAGGTGTCGCAGAAAAAATTTGAAAGTCGAAATATAAGAACCATCCTAAATTACACATTTGTATATGTATATATGTTAGGCAAAGTCAGCATACAGTGTTGTCATTGCTCGAATTGTCTGCTGTACAATGCCAGCATTGATCGGGCCGTGTCAACATTGCTTAATTCAACCACGTTTGGCAATACACTGCCCACTTTGCTCATAATATATACATATACAGGGTGTCTCGTAAGTTTTTGCCAAGCGCTTTTGTGTAGATAGAGCAGACTTATTTGAAAAGTCCTGTACCATTTTGCAATTTTTGCAATGATTAACGAGATATTAATTACTAAAAGTACCCTGAATATTGGTTTTTAATAATTTTTTACTCAAATTTCAGAATTTTTTTTATCAACTTTTTAATACTATATTTTCTTATTTTTACTAACATGAGAAAATACAATATTAAAAAATTTTGAAAAAATTCTCATAACTTTATGAGAAGAAAATAAACAACTTTTATCTCTCGCTGTTTTTCTGTAAAGTTGATAGTATTTGGATAAACAATTATTAAAGACCTATATTCGGCAATTTTTAGTAATTAATATCTTGTTAATTATTGCAAAAATTGCAAAATATTACAGAACTTTTTGATTCAGTTTAATCCACTCTATATACACAAAAGCTTGGCAAAAATTTATGGGACATACTCTGTGTGTGTATATGTGTGTGTGCGTGCGTTGCGTGCGCGCGCCCACATATGGGAAAGTGGTAGAATTGTGCGCATTAAGGGGAATTTATTGCTGTAATGTAATTTTGGAAGTTAAAGTCAATGTAAACACGGAAATACAAAGTATAAACATTCTTCTAACGACATGCATTTTTATATTGCATGATTTGATAATGTTGTATTTGGCAAAAATTCTTATTTTTACTAACATGAGAAAATACAATATTAAAAAATTTTGAAAAAAATTCTCAGAACTTTATGAGAACAAAATAAACAATTCTTGTCTCTCGCTATTTTTCTGTAAAAATTAAAGAAGCATAAACAACAAAATTTTTTCGCGTCGGGTAATTGTGCACAAAGCCAAAACCGTAAGAAATTAATGTAAAATTATTAAAATATTTCATGGAAAATGTTTCAAAGAATGTTGATAAGAAAATGAAAACATATATTATTATGCCAATGTTAACAAAATTAATATGAAATTTGAAAAAAATAATATAAAAGTTAGAAAAATTAATATTATTTAAACCAAAATCGCATATGTAATTCTCAACGTCATCAGTTTCACTGCATTCTTCATGGATCCATTCAGAACACAGACAGCATTGAAACCACTTAGTCGATACAAACTAAAAGCAACATAATGTCAATGTTATAATTTCATACTCTACGGTGTATCTCCCTTAGAACATATAGAAATCAACAAAAAATCAAAATGACATTTACTTCAAAATAATTTTATTTTAAAGTAAATAAACAGTCAAATTTTGTATCCAAAAATCATTTTGACGTTAAAGTACGTCATTTTGATTTTTTCTCGATTTGATGTGTTCTTTGGACTATTATGTAATACCATGTGTTATATTACATTTATATTGTGGAATACGAAATTACAACATTAATATTATGTTTTGTCGACTGGATAGAGTTCCATATCTTCCGAAATTCTTCGCAAATAGTGCACTTTTCATTGGGACGAAATTTTAAATTGTTTCATGCGCACAATTTCCCGCCGCGAATTGATTTAATAAGAAAAACGATTACAAAGACTTTTTAACTTAATTCAATGAATAATAATACCTCAAAAGTCGCACATAATAATGCATTTTAGTAAGGTATGCACAATTAAATAAACAAAATAAGAATACTTATCATTTTATTTTCTGGATGTTAAAATTACTATCAAAATATAATGTAATTTCACTTTGTTTTTCTCACTTTTGCCGTTAACTACGTTTTCAAATTATATAACTTATGGTTATATCTAAAAAGAATTACTAGAGAAAAGAATTATTAAAGTCTCTAGCCTAGACATTTTTAGAAATTCGCGATAGCGGTTCTATTTATCAAAATAGTACTGAACTAAACTGCTCACAATTATCCTATTCTCCTCTATATGTGTGTGCGCGCGCGCGCACACACACACTCACACTCACACTCACACTCACACACATGTATGTTCATTTTAATTGACGCCCTTCACATTTCATTGCATATTTTTGTAGTTTACCTTGAAAACTTTCGAAAACACTATAATGAAGTTTTCTCTCATTAAGTACTTTCGAGTTATCAAACTTAGAAAGTTACAATACTGCTGGCATTGCCATTATCCAAGATGTACGACCGGTTGAAACTTCTTAAATGTTGTTCAGGATCATGACTTGATAATATTTTATATCAAAATGAATTTTTATGCAAAAATAAAAATAAGAGGGACAACCCAATGGCCTTGATCTTAAACAATGTTATATTCATGTTATGATTCTGAACAACATTTAAGAAATTTTAGCCATCAGTCGGACACCTTGTAATGCAAATGCCGCCGCGCCAGTATTGTAACTTTCAAGCTTCATGTTTATTTTCATTGAGTATTTTTCAATACACTTGAAAAGTACTTAATGAAATAAACTTCATTATATAGTGTTTTGAAAGAGTCTTCAGACGCTTTAAGAATACGCAATGAAATATATGGAGTTCCATTTAAGAAATTGATGGTGATCTTCACGTTAACTTCTCAAACAACTCTTCAAGATCAGATCATTGTGATACCATCTTATGCCTCCTTCCAAACCATACAACTTTTGTCTGAAACGTTTTTCTCTAAAATGCATTATTTAAAAGATTTTGGGACGTCAATTAAAATAAAACATCCAATACACACACACACACACACACACACAGAGTGGCATGAATATACGGCCCCACTCGTCCCGAGCAGATAGAACGGACTAAACTGAGTAGAAAAGTCCTCTACCATTTTGTAATGCTTGCAATAATTAACGTTTAGCGGAGCTTACCGTCGCGAGCCTCTAAGCTTGAATGGCGCGGCGCGCCTGCTAGGCCATTCCCGCTCCTCACGGCCCGCGCTCGGTGGGCCGTACCTTCGACAATAGTAAGTCGGGCGGACGCGCGTATTCGGCTATCTTTAAACATTAATATCTCGTTAATTATTGCGAGCATTGCAAAATAGTAGAGGACTTTTCTACTCAGTTTAGTCCGTTCTACCTGCTCGGGACGAGTGGACCGTATATTCATGCCACCCTGTATATATACACATATATAATATGTTTCAGAATGACCGCAAAATATTTCACGTATAGGTAGAGCGGACTAAACTGAGTTGAAAAGTCCTTTACCATTTTGAAATTTTGGAAATATTTAACGAGATATTAATTTCTGAAGAGCCGAATGAGCGTTCGACTATGTCGCCAAATGCACGCATTAGTTGTGCTCGCTAAGTGCTTGGAATTAGTTTCTTTCGCCGTCGTGCGTAACTATTGTTGTTTGTAATAAACAACTCCCCGCGTGCTTAGCGATCACTGATGACTGATGGGCGAGCATTTGTTGGTATGGCCGGGCGGACATGCATTTACTCGGTCAATCTTTAGAAATTGATATCTCGTTAGCTATTCTGAAAATTGCAAAATTGCAGAAAACTTTTTGACTCAGTTTAATCCGTTTTACTTGTACACGAAATATTTTGCGGTCATTCCGAAACATACTGTATGTATATATATGTATGTACAGATTATCTAATTAACAATTAAAATCAATATTTACACTCTATGCAAACCGAAATTAAATTTAAATAAAAAAAAATAACCAATTACGGAAAGTAAGTGAGTTATCAGAGACACTATCAATAACTGATAATTAGTACTTAGTCGTCTTTTTGCTGCAATTACGGCCTCTAATCATCGTGATGTACTATTTATTATAAAACTTAATTCTATATAATCTTTGTCAATATTTTCAAAAACTGATTTAAGTTATTAAAAAAATCCATTTTATTCTCTCGATTGTCCAAGGAAATTTTGGAATCTAATACATATCACATATTTTCAATCGGATTCAAGTCAAGACTCTATTTCATTCAAGTACTTTAATATTTTAATTACTTAAAAATTTTTATACTTTTTTTGGCAACGTACTTCGGATTGTTGTCCTGTTGAAAAATAAATTCTTCCTTCAAATTCATGTTGCCTCTTCCAAATTTTCATTTATTATATTAATGTACTTATCGGCATTCATTATACCCTCAACTGATATCAAAGTTCCATTCCATGAAAAAACAGCCCTACATCATCAATGAACCGTCACCAAATTTAACTATTGGTGTAATGAATGACTTCTTGTATGTTTCATTTTTCTTTTTTCAGCCATTTGCTTCTTTTTTAATTGTCGCATTTCAAATTTTGATTCAACTAACCATAGTATCTTCTTCCAGAATGATATTTTATTATCATGATATTTCATTATTTATATGCTTAACGGTCGTATGGGCACATATGAAAAAATACTTGTGTCTTTTACTTTGACTTAGATTACAACAATATTCAAAGCTTATCAAAATCGGAACTTGACACTTCGGTGAGTTTACTGTAATTACTAATTATATTACAGTTATTGATAGTGTTCACTTACTTTTATCTTTCCATAATTGATTGTTTTTTTGTTTAAACTTAATTTTGATTTGCAGAGTATGAATATTGTATAGATTAATTTTTTGTGTGAATCTTTTGTTGAGACATTCTACGTTACAATACGTGAAGTTGACTTTGTGAATTGCTTATTATAGTACAATTAAGTTCGAAGATACATTATCAATTCATTTTGATTGTAATATGTCCCTCTCGTTTCCATCGGTCTATTCGCACTTGTATCCCTACAGTCCTATAAAAAAAAAAGTAGAGAAACTATTCTCATACACGGATTCAACATCCATATTCTCTGATAACTAAGTTGTAATTTTATGGTGCCACAGGCGGTGGAAAGGAGTGGCGTGGCGCGGGTGTAGCCGATGATGGGGTAGCTGAGAGTAAGCAGTAAGCCGAGTAGCAGGGGGCTGTAAGCAGTTTGCAGTAGCGAGAGAGAGCGGTGTTGGTGGTGCGGTGCGATGCGGTGCGATGCGGTCCGGTCCATTCCGATGCAATGGTCTGGTGATCCGATTCGTTTTGCGGGTTTGCAAAAAATCAGGGCGAAAGAGAGACGGGGAGATAGAAAGTGACGTATGTCGAGCGACAGAGATAGTAAGAAAGGATAGATGCCAGTTCATCTGCAAGTTAACAATCATCGCGGATCCACTGTCGACTTCTTCGGGCGTCGTCAGGGATGCAGTGTCGGGTTCTAGCATCGCGCGACAGACCATCACCAGACCTCGTGAACATAGAAATGACTGATTACAGAACGTCATATTCATCGATCGATCATCGATAAACGGAGTCATGTGTTCATGGTAAACTCACAACGCACACATTGTGTGTAGAGTATGGTAGCTTTAACCCTCAGTTACCATACTTCAGTCACGGTCACCACACTATTATCACACTAATGCAAATTTGGCTTTTTCATTTTTCATTATGTAACTTTGAAACAAAAAAAGCAAAAGTAGTTCAATTATATAGTTTTTCAGGGTAAAATTTTCCTGACAACTCATCGATAATAATAAAATTAAGCAAAAACAATATTTTATTGCAAGAAATTGTTAATTAAGAAAGTAATAAATTAAAAAGTAAACTTTTTTAAAAAAATTACTGATGCGATTTCGCACTAATGTGGTAACTGAGTGTTAAAACGAATAAAATTAGGGAAGAATGTTTTATTCTGATTATTTCAATTTGATATAATTTGAATGAACAAAAATTCCCTAATCTGCCGAAGATCATTTATTTTTGATAAAATTATTGAATATTCACATGAAGCATTACATTAAAATTGTCTGAAAACTGTTGGATGTTTTTGACAAACTTTGGCCGTGTTCTGATATGTACACTGTCACTACTAAAAATTTATGCGTGTTACGTATACTTTTAGATATACTTTTAGATAGACGTAGATTTTTAGTTTTGACAATGTATATCAGAGCTTTTGACTGATTTTAGTATCAAGTTTCCTTAATGAAATTATTAAGAAAAATCATCTTTCGTTGCCATTTTCCAATTATTGTGAATTCGTCTGTTTTGATATAAAACTTTGATACTAAATTTCAAATTTAATTTTTTTAAAGTAAAATGTGATTTAAAATTAATTAACGTAGAGAACCTCCATATTAATTAACTAGAAGTATTCATCGAGTTTTTCGAAGCTAATTTTTTTTTATGATATAAAAAAGCTCATCAGAGCCTATATCAGCTATTCGGATGCACAGAAAACTCTGAGTTGGTTGTCTCAAAATATATGTGCCGTTAATAGTTTTTATATGCAAAACTAATTTTTAACGATTTAGCAACGCTTTTTATTTTATGTTTTAATAAGAAACATTATAATATTCTAATTGTTTGAAAGAAATAACAAATGCAACAAAACACATATTTCAAAGAAAAAGAAAAATTGGTGGACCTCGAATGCGAATCCGATTCGCTGGAGCAATCATTTAATTTTTCAGATTTAAAAACATTTATAACTCGATAAGGAAGCCACATTGATAAATGAACGTCTCGATGTGTATATTTCTTTTTACCTCAAGAATGGCTAAAAATTGGCATCGAAAAACTCGATAAACACTTCTGAGGTTTCCCTTGTAAAAAAGATAACGGTTTTTTAAAATTTGTTTTCCAAAATTTAGTTTGTAAAAAAATTTCACTTTTAATCACATTTGGAAAATTATTGAGATTCAAATTTGGGAACATTACTTCATAAAAGTAATGCGTTACTGTTACTTTTTGTAAAAAATATTTTGTTACAATTATTCGTTACTAATTTTAAAATGTAACGCGTTGTCGTTATTTTGAAGATAACGATTCATTACTTTTTACGTTATTCTTTTGCTAAAGATATTAGATCACAAAATTGCATTATTTAATTCTCAGTATCCACAAAGGGCTAGCGTAACCCCTCCCCTCCCCCCTCCGATTTTCATAATTCAGACGTTTTTTTCCGATCTCTTTTCACTTATTGCAAAATATCTTTTGTACTACGACATTTTAGACTTTCTAACTCAAAAATTCTTTTTTTTTCAGTCTTCTAACGATAGATTAAAAAAAAATAGTTAAAATCAATGCACTATAATCTGAGATACAAGTAAAAGAAAATTGGGATAAATATCCGGATGTGGGTAGATAGGGATTTTTAAAGATGTGAGTACTAAGGTTAATAAAATTAATTGTAAAAATCAATATTAAAACTCAAAATTCTGAGCTCTAGTTTTATAGCAAATTTTTCTTTATATTAAACTTGTATCTCTATAATAAATCTTTGAAAATTTTTTACATTAATTTTTTTTTAATATATATTATTAGGAACTTAGATTTACAAATGCAGATTTTTTTATTAAGCATTATTTTTAAATATTGATGTTATTAAGAGTGTAATTCCAATATTTATTGCCTATACTGAAAATTTATAGTTCACGTTACATATACACTACAGATTTTCAGTATTGATAGTGATTATCGGAATGCAGCCTAAGGTATGAGGTACAATTTTTCGATATTTAAATTTCTGTTATAAAATATTTCTAGTCAGTTATATAATATAAAAATATGTGATCTATTGAATAAAGATAATAAGGAATTAAATGCGATAATAAGTAATTGCAGAATTCGTTACTGTTATTGTAAAAATGTAACGACATTACCGTTACAGACAGAAAAATGTAACGATCCTAAAACAAAATAATGAAAACGATAACGGCGTTACAAGTAACGCGTTACTTCTCAACTTTGTTAAGATCTCATCATCTCCGCTAAGAAAAAATTGAATCTAAATTGATCACAGAATTTGTTATTAAGAGAATATTCAACATTTTTGAAATATCTTATATTATATTGTGAGTCCCTTTCACAATACAATTCTTTTACAACGAAAAATGTATGACATGATTTTTATTATAATTATTTTTATGTTAAACACAGCATTAATAATTGAGCTTGATACTGAATTGTTATAAATGATAACCGGTAAGAAATCGCGCGAAGGTCTTATAAGAATCTTTAGTTCGACGTCCTCTCATCAAAAAACTGCTATTGACTGTGTTTGTCACGTATCATTCGTAATCCGTTCTCCTAGATCGTTTCCATAGCATATTTATCAACAAAATTAAGAATGCTCATTTATTCTGATCGCTTGAAATAATTCATATTCAATGCCATTAAAAAATTACTATATAATTTACGTAAAATATATCTATTTAAAATATACCTATTTTTGATATAAAATTATTTTTAAAGAAACACATTTATCTGTATATATTGTAAAATTTCTTCACATAAACATATTGAATTGTGATATAAAAGGCAATAAATTATATGATTTTTATCTTTCGTCTACATACGTTAAAATAAATTTATTTTTTCATTTTACTTGTATTAATATATATAAGATAAAAATATGCTAAAATGTTTTATTTTTCGCAATAAATTTACACTTTTTTAGTACATTAACATGTTTTTAATAAGATTTCAGATTGAGCATCAAATTATTAAATTGTTTATCAATCTAATTTGTGATATCACTATAGTAGTTTGATATCACTATAGTATTTAATTTTTATTTTGTTATATTGTTATTTTAATTTATATATTTACATGTATATATTAGTATATTGTACATCTTACTTAATACTGACTAATTTTCAGTCGAAACAATTATTTTAATTGACAATGAATAAGAATTACAAATGATCAAGGATAAATGAGTTATTCCATGCATGTCTTACAGAACTTTCGCTTTGCGTTTTCAAATTTTTTAGTCATTAAATTGTCAATTCATTTTATATAGAGAGAATATCGACAATAAAATGTCAAATTTAGAAAATTTCAAGATATGTAAAATTTCAAAGTTTTTAATATCGACTAAATTAAAGAGTTTATTAGCGAGATACATTGTTATTTCATTTATCAGATTCGGACAATCAGCTGATACATCGGCTGATTGAGAAAGGTTTAATACTCGGCGGCGCCACATCAACCAAAAATAATTAAAAGAAAACGAAGGCTCTCTCTTGAGTGTTCCCCTGAGATATTTTTTCCGTGTCTTTCTTTCAGGTATAAATGTCAATCTACCTATGGGTATACTATAAATTAATGTAAGTATTTTTATATAAAATTATTTGTAGAAATGACATAAAATTTTATTCTATAGAGAGACAACATATACGGCGGTGGATTGCGGAGATGTGCAAAATATATGAAAGGTATTATCAATAAAATGTATAAATAGAGAAATAGACTTTTTATTATGTGCACTTCTTGACAAGTGTTTAGAAGTGTTGCTCTTGAATATCTTTTACATTCTAGTAATATATTAGGTCAGGGAAAAAGTTTCTTCGTATTTAAAAAAAATTTTTCGCAAAAGTTTTTCATTTTTTGCAAAATTTTCTTTACAATTATATTATTCGTAGCAAAGTTTTAGCTTTAAGAATCTGTTTTTTAAATTGCGGTGAGATGATTTTTATCGGAGTTACGAGCAATCAAAGTTAGAATGCTCCTTTACTTAATTCGTGAATAACTCAGTAACAAAAAATCATAGGAACATTTTTAAAAAATGATTTTGTAGGAAAAGCTTCGAGCTTTCACGATAGGTAGTCGAAAATTTTTGTAAATTTTTTTTGGACACGTGAGAGATCCTCAAAATGAAAAGAAAAATTTTCATCTTTTTCAGCTCGCAGTTTTTTTGATGTAAAAATTATCAAATTCACAGAAACTGAAAAAATATAGTAATCTTTCGAAAGTAGAGATTTCAAGCTTTAAAACTCTCTTTTTAAATTGAAATTTCATTTATTTTTGACGAAGATAATGTATGGTATATACAATTTTGAATTAAAAAATACGAAGAAACTTTTTCCCCAATCCAATATATGGCAATTTCCTTTTTCTGACTCCGTAAGTTAATTTTGTAGCAATTTTAGCAAATCTTAAGATGTCTAGAGTATCCATTAACAAGTGGCATTCGGATTTGTATTTGTGATATCTTTTAACATTCAACAACCATGACAAGTAAAAAGATATTAACAATGGACGCTATTAAAAACTACAAACCGAGAATAATATAATATATTTCGGTTTGAAAACAAATCTTTTCAAACTTTAAAGGCCTGTCTTTTATTTAAAAAATATTTTCTCTCTTTTAATAATATAGAATCATGTTCACTTAATATTTTCATAAAAACGGAATTACTTTTCGAACCCTATTAAAAATCTTAAATTAGTAGATATATACATTACATAATTAATGGCTTGGAAAAACGAACTCGACGTTTAATATATATAGTTTAACATACATAGTATTGTGTATATGAATTATAAAAGATAAAACAATAAAAGTCGCTAAACATCAGAAATGTTATGAAAGGATTTCTCGTATAATATTATAAAATATATATTTTATGATAATTATTATCAAATTATTGTTTTCTGTATATTTATAAGTATATGAAATATTGTAATGACCTACAAATTTAAATAATTACTTAATTTAAAATTAAATTGATTAATTATTTAATTAATTTAACTTTTTACATCAAGATGGAATTCTCAGCATTTCATTTTTGCTTGCTCAGTTTTTAATTATTTGACGAATTTCTTGCCGTTAAACACTGATTTATTTGTTTTCATAAAATCTGTAGAACATGAATAAGCATAAAAAAGTAGGCAACTATACATTTTTGTTTGTATAATTATTATAACTAAACAAATAGACCAAATTTATACTTCTTTCGAAAAAAGAAATTTTTATTAAATTTTATTATCAATATCAAAACGGCAATTTAAGTTTTTAGACTTATTTAGAATATCCTAAAATATTTTTCAGAATTTTTTCAAATTTTAAAATAAAATATCTTGTATATATACAGATTTCCTAACATATGGGATCTACTTCGGCAGCGGATAGGAGACACTTTAATAATAAACACTTTAATAATGATAAAAGTTTATACAAACATTGTAATTTATTTATGTGAAATTGTTTCAGAATTACAGTCATTTTTGTTTTCCAAGTAATACATAGCTGACTTATCTTCATGGATTTGAAAAAAAAAATGATTAGCTTTGATCTACTTTATAAGCAATACTCGATATCTTGATATTTCCTATCTCGTTGATTGCAAAAATTTTGTTCATTATGTTTACTCAGTTATTTTAGTTTGTTCTTTTGTTAGGAATATTTAATTTAATTTGCTATGCGTTGAAAGTAATAATGAATAAGTATTCAATTCAGGAAATGGCAGACATACATTTGATGTATGAACGTGCCAAATGTAATTGAAAGTGTCTTGTTTGATTACGATCCAATTCCACAACTCATTATTACTTAAAACATGTAAAATAAGTTAAACCTCAGTTAAAAGTCAACCATGAGTTGTGAAACTGGGTCTTAAATGAATCTCATGTAATCGTCGGTTAACTTTAACAGAGGTGGAAATAGACCCTACGTTGCGATTAACCATCTTCACTTACAGCGACCGATGCCTAGGGACTTTCCATTGTTCAAGCACTGTGAGTGACTGGTGGTCAATTGCAACGTTCAAACGGGTGCCAATCAATGTATAATTCAGCTGAAATAAGACGTCTACACAGATTGTTTCCCGAATAGATATCATCTATCAGATAAGAAAACATTTCAATGATTATATCATAAAGAATAGAGACCAGGAGACCGAACTAGACTTTCAGAAAATTGGTGGTGCTCAGTAGGCAGCATTTGAATCGCAAAACTTACGCACATATAAAACTCATACGCTTAGGCTAATTCTACAATGTGCTTTTTGTTTTCTGTTTCTTGCTGTTTGTCTCTTATCTTATTGACCAAAAAGACAAGAGGCAAACAGAGACAAACAGCAAGAAACAGGAAACAAAGAGCACGTGAATTAGCCTTATGCATATACAACCGAACATACAAAACCAAACAATAGAAACGTTATTCTTTGACATTATGCTTTGACCAGTTCTGAATCACTCGTCCGCGGCGGACACGTCTCGACTGCCTTTTTTTTTGTATATTTTTGAAAGTGTTGCTGACTGAGCATTGAAACTAGCTGTCCCGCGGTTTTGGACAATCGTCCGTTCGTCCTGACGCGCATCCATGTGACGCAGACGCCCAGTATCCAGCGGGCTTCGCCATTTTCGCGGACACTACATCATACATTTTTAGTTTTTGTATCTCATAAAACATGATCTAGTCGTATCGATCTCCGTTTACTATTTCAGGAGGCATGAGCTATTAATTAAAGAAGATCATAAAACTTTGACAATAAACACAATGGGTACTTTCCATTTGATAACACAAGTCGACACAAGTGTCGTTCTGTCTTTATCACTCTCTAACTATCGAGAAGGATAGAACGATGCTTGTATCGACTTGTGTCATCAAATAGAAAGCACTCAATGAAAAGCACAGATAAGAACAATTTTTTAACGCATTAGAATTTCCTGTTGCCTGATCTGTTTTGAGATTATATGTTCATTCGCGAATATAGTTTTATGGAATAAATTGTCAAAATAAATATTAAAGATAATCGTTGAGTTTTCTTTATCCGTTGATTTATCTCATTAAAAAAATTAAATTGAACTAAGAAAAATTAATTAAAATTGGCAAAATAGTTACAAAAAATATTGCAAATAGCAATCCAATTTCAATATACATAAGTATTTATATCTCATAATTGTTGACACATGTCTGTGCGGCAATTGCAATACAATATCAAAAGATAAGAAAAAAATGGTGTTAATTGCATAAATTAAGTTGAAAAGAACGTATAGATTTTTAAAATTTACCAAATAAACATACCATTCTTTCAGAAATAAGATATTTTTTGATTTTTTGAATATTTTATTTAAAGCTAAAGGAGAGTACAAATTTTTGGGATTATTTAATTTTTACATTGGGCGCATTTAACTTGACAAAACAGCTAGTCTACTCGCCGAGCAAAACATAACATTAGTTGTTACTTATAGATTCAACCAATAATATACAATCGCTCGGTAAGCATGCCTAGCCGCTTTGCCGTCTTGAACTCGTCCAATGTCTTATTTTTCTTCATGGAATCCGAAAATTATCATAATAATAACGCTAAAGCAAAAATTGATACATCAATATAAAGTTAATAAAATGATCCTTGTATCGTTACGAAAGAAAGAGGGGGGGAGGGGAATAATTAGTTTTTAAATTATTAAAGCATAATTGACAGCGATTTTATAATTTTATTAATTTCATTTAAAGTTTGAATCCCTGAATGGTCGCAAAAATTTGTACTCTTCTTTAGCTCTATTTCTTCTAAATAAAATATTCAAAATACGGTAAATATTGAAGACAACGAACCACCTCCAATGTCCTTGACATATATTGTGAAGGTCATGACCCTGAATGATTCTAGGAAGGTTTTAGTCTGCGCTCATTATTCATTAGAAAGTTTATTAGCAAAATATGTTTTTTATAAATAGAACACAAAATTTACCCCATTCTCCCTGTTTACAGAAATTAATGACTTTTTACGCGGAGCGAGTTCCACCCCACCTTCTTCCCCTGCCTAGGAGTGTGTGATTTTCCACACAAACCGAAGTTCATCTCACAATCAGATAAAGATCGCGGGGTTAGGATGTAGGGGAAGGAGTGGAGCTCCTGGAAGAAAGATTGAGAAATTCTTTAATACAATTGCATGCTTTGCAAATCAAAGGTGATTATTTCGAATATTTCTATAAAGATAAGTAGCTATACATTATTGGAGGAAAAAAATGACTATAATTCTGAAACAAAATCAAAAGGATACATGTCTATGGGATCTTTTTTCATTATATAGGTATCCTCCACCCAAAGTGCGTTTCACATGTTAGGAAACATTTTGTATAGCAGTTTACGTAAGATTTTAATGTAAAGAAAGTACTATATCATACAAAAAAATAGCAATTATAAACGAATATCAAATAATAATTGAAAATCGATTTCCTCTAGTGGATCAACAGTTTAAAAAATGGTTAAATCGAAACATGTTTCTCTCGCGTTGAAATACGAACCTTTTTTTCTTTTTTTTAAAGCCAACATAAAGCAAGAAAAATTATTTCTTTTTGTGTTCTTCCGTTTGTTGTTTAAGAGAGCGAGTTTTTAGGATTCGTGAGAAGAGATAAGCTATAAGTCCTAAGATATGTCCGGAGAAATATAAACTTTTGTAAAAATGTATTATTTCTTGGAAGCGCAGTAATTGGAAGGGCACGCCAAGATACGCCATGCATGTAAGTTTCGCCCACCAGAGGAAGAATCTCCAGGCCTTCTTGCCCTGCATTTCATTGTGAGAAAATATTATAAATAACATGAATTAATATTGGCAATATATGAGAACATCGCTTTAGAAAAATTTTGTTTTATTTAAAATATATTGATATATCTTTATCTCAAGATATTTATAAGTTTAATATAACTAATAAATATAATTTATATAACTCAATTTATACATTACATATTTTCTACGTAGACGATTTTTAAATTTCGAGATAAACAAAATTCTTCAAATAATGATTCACAAAGAAAGGATATCTTTCTAAGACGATATTCTCTGATATAATATATTCAGGATATTTCTTCATATAGAACGTATTTACTAATTAAAGAAATAAAAATTACAAGGGCTTTCATATATCAAATAAAAAATATAAGTAATAATATGATTTGTTTTGATAAGAATCAAAGCAAGCTTTTCATGATACCAAAGTGTATTTATGAAGCTTAATTAAACACTTCTGAAATAATCCGTTTTGACTCTTATAGCCATATTATAACTATATATTTTTTTATTTGTTTATTAATAGTCAATAAGACACGTGAAGATATGTAAAGACACTATAATGCCAACTAATTTGTGACGAGAATTAATGAAACACGAAAACATCTATAACTATAACTCGAATATAATAATAAGATCAGATAAAATAAATGTTTATATAAATGTTTTCTTTTTGTGTTATTTTTGCGTCTCGAATTCATTTTTGAAGTTATGCCCTCATGTTATGAAACATCTTATACAATTCTAACTATTACACTAATATATATTAATATTGGGTCATCTAAAAAGCATCCGCGGTTTTTTGTCATTAGATGGTGTTGGTCAACCCATCTAGTGACAAAAAACCGCGGATACTTTTTAGATGACCCAATATAAGGAATAGAAATAATTACTGTAACTGCCGTTACTTACATCTTAGTTATCTTGTTGTAATACTGATTTAATAATAATGTTGCGAATTTTTTTATTATGTTGATAATGTAACACCATAGTTGGAACAGTCATAATTATTTGTAACGGATTGGAAAAGTCATTCGTTACTGAAAAAAAATGACTCAATTTGCAACTCGTTACTTATTTTTCTCAATGAGTATACGTAATGATAACAATTTACTTTTCAAAGTGATTTTCTTAGTGTAACCTTAGCATTAATCATCATTACAATTATAAAAAATTGCAACATCATTATTAAATTGATATTATAAAAAGTAACCGTAAAGTAACGGAAAAGAAACTTTTCCATTCTCTACTAATATAATAATCAAAATAATTATAAATTGAAGAAGTGCGATTGTAAAATTATAAAGCAGAACTTTTTATCTTTATGCTTAATTTTTTCATTACAATGCTTTTTTTTATAATACTTTACTTTTTTTATAAGTAAATCCTTCCTGAATTTTAATTTTGGAAAATTTAATTTTTTTACAACTTTGCTTATAACTTTGGAAAAAATTACTTTTTTTAATTTAACGGTCAAATAATATTCCATTTTTATTTTTTGTCATTCAAAAAAAAATATAGTTATTTCCGCTTAAGGGATCCGTTTTATCCTATCTTTCTCTATTAGGTAATATCAAAATAGATTTTATATCTCTATATCATTAAATTTACATATAAACGACTTACAAATTCATTTTCTTCGTATTGATTATAAAATTTAATACAGATGTCCTCGAAAGGTAGATAGAGCGGGACTTGACAGATGCAAAAGTAGTATCCGGCAGCATAACCATGCCATAGAGCAGATAAAGTCATTGTGGCGATGGTTCTTAAACCTTTATGAGGGAATCTTTTGTAAATGCATACAGCCATCCAATATTGTACGCATGTATTCCACATTTTCATCGTGTGCCTAATAAATGGAGATGATTCCACTTCCCACACATTCATGTTATGCACCGTTTCGAAATCCTGTTTCTCTTTTTCCATTCTCTCGTGATCAAGCGATCTAAAAAATTATTATATTAACAGATTGCTTGCTTGTGAACTTTCTATATTCTCTGATTATAGATACAAGGGATGCTATTATTGAAAAAATACGTAGAAGTGCAATTTACTCCTTTGCAGAGATTATTTTTTAGTGCCCCAGAATAACCATGCAAAAGCTGATCAAAATCCATGAAATACATATGTGAGTCTCTCCTTGTTAGCGCTGAGAAACAGCATAATAACATGGCATATAAATGTAATCATGTAAATCATTGACTAATAGAAAAGCGGCTTGCTGAATATAAATATCTCAAAATGGAATAAAGAAATCGTACAATTTTTCGATCATTTTGTAATCACGTGGGCCTAGACCAGGTGTAGGTTGACAGCAGACCGGATAAGCTCCTAATCCTGACATTTGGCAAACACATTCGGCCAGCGCCATACCAATAAACATTCTCAATCGAAAACCAGCGAATGCCGGATACATATAGAAAAATCTATAGAGGAAACAGTGCTCTTCGAACATTACTGTTTGCGTGTACTGAAATCGAAAAGGACGAATCATTAAAATCATTATAATGATCATTATGCTGTCACCTCATTTGCAATCAGAAAAACGTAATTAGAAACTCAATTTCAGATTGTTATTAATTAGTATGAATGGGTATCTTATTGCACAATAGTATCTCATAGACGAATCAATATTTCATAAGTTGTATAACAACATATTTCAAAAAACTTTTGATTAACAAAATATATTGACAAGGGATATGTCACAACTGTAATCGATTTAATTCATCTTGAAGTATGTTGTTAAATATAACAAAAAATCAAAGAATTTTTTTATACTGCAGAATCTGACATGTTTAGGAAATATCCCTTCAAAAAAAAAACTTCTCTTTAAGGCAAATATCGTCGAAAGTATAAAAGATAGAAAAAAAATTTTTAAACAAAAATTATATGGTTTCAAGAGTACTTATGCAGCCTTTTTTTTTAACAAGATTTTTTGGAAGAGTGTAAATTATGCGAGATTACATTTATACTAGCTTGTAAGTTTTTTTTATTCATTGAAGATAGTATCAATGTGGATCGAAACATTTGAGAGGTTAAATTTATTAATAAAGAGAGTGTTTAACACTAAATTTCTCTAGTTTTGTGCACCAACATCGTGCTCATTACGCCGTTACTGTTACTTTTTTAATACATTACTATTTCTTTTTAAAAAATTAAAGAGGTATCCTAATGTAATGAGTAAAAAAAAAAAATTTCTTTGCATTTTTCGCAAGTGTATGTTGTGGAAAATGTATGCAAAAAGTTATAAGTTCAATTCGCAAAACTTACGGAGTTACAACGGTTAAAAGAGACAGATTTACAACGCGCTCGCCATGCGAAAAAGGTGATGTACAATAATATTGGATGCTTTCCATTTGATGACACAAATCGGCACAAGTGTCGTTCTATCTTTGTCACTCTCTGAATGTCAACAAGGAACGACGCTTGTTATAATCGATTAGAATATATTTACGTTTATTTTGTAATTTTTTAGTTTTTCAACATAAAATTTATATACTTTAGATTCTTACATGTCTTATATTGCTTTTATTATTTACTAATTAAGAATCATTTTGAATTTTTTATTTCGAACAAGCAGAACCTCCCTCGCTCCAACTATGGAAGCCATGTGCAAACATTTTTTTTTTATCGATAACGTCAAAGCGGTCCATTGAGGATAATTTTTATTTTTTTTACATAAAAATTCCTACAAATTGCTTAAATATTAATAAGTATATAGAAAAAAAAATTGATATCAATAACTTTTATGAGTTCTTCTATAAATAAATTCTAGAAAAAATGCCTATTACACTAGAGTACCTCCTTAAAAGTTTTATTCCCTTATTTATTGTGTGATCAACTTTTATCTTAAACATTTTTTGCTGCGACGCATACTTTCAGGGATAATACTTTAAATGTCTCATCTTGTATTTTACAAAAGTGCAATAGCACATATTATATAACAATAATATTAATTGTCTAGGAGCTACTGTAAATAATAATGCAATAAGATTAAAATTATCCCATTCTATCGCAAAGTTTATATTTGGCTCTTTGTAATGTAATGTGAACATTACATCGCTGGGAAAGAGATAGTTTATCACTAGAAACAACGCGATGAACGCCGTGATTTGTTTGAGTTTGTAATAGGTGAGTGGCCACGGATCAACGTAGTTGGAAAATGGTCTATGCAAAGAGTCCCAGTACGTCCTGTAACGGTAATACGGACCTGCAAAAATTAATATAATTTGTATTCGAATTTTTTAACATTTATAATTTTGTGTCTATAGTTATTCGTCCTATCTTACCTGTTAGTACACCCATATAACTAAAGCTATAATGTATCACATCCATGAAATTAATTTTCTTGAGCGCGTCGGAATTTGCTCCTTGAATATCATCGGCTGGCGCAGTTGCTGCCGAATTGATTTCGAATGCTAGCCCGGATAGCTTTAAGGTGAGAATCATTACAACGAGATTCGTGTGAGTTGATGGACTCGGTAAACCAAAATAGTGTCCCAATCGAAAGATTACCAGTAAGTAGAAAAAGGAGAAATATAGGCTGATCAAGTGACATTTTCTGCAAGATCAAAGTCTATCGAATCACTCCTGTGACGGATACAATTATATGGTACTCCGGATTCGGGAAAACCTGGATTTCTTGTTTTTTACATTTTTTTTTATTAAATTAGTCTTATAAATTATAATTCCTCTCATGAATTTTTTTTATTAAAATTTTAGTAAGTATATCGTGGAGAATATATTATATTAGCCATGATTTTCCTTTATTGGATTACCATTCATTACTTAGTTACGCTAAATGTTGAATATTTCATTTTGAGTATGCTCTACCGATTTGCAGAATTCCACTTAAATATGTATTTTAGAATTATTTTGAGTATGTTGAACTGTTGTTAATTGAAAGAGAGTGAAAGAAAGATTGAATGGAATGCATTATTATATATGTAATCGATTGGACTATTTCTCTCACTGCAGATGTCATGTTTTAAGCAAAGTTGAAAACTCAAGTCAATCATCAGACTAAAGATGAATAATGAAATTTTAGTGCGCTTATCAAAGTTTATCATTTGTATTAAGTACAAAATTCAGGATGTACATCGAAAATTAATGGTTTAATAAATAATATGCTTTAAAGAAATATTGCCATTATCATTGGTTTTTTTTTATATAGAAATTTTACATTTTTTATATAGAAATTTTACAATATAAAACACCCACCTGATGTCGATTTTAAACTATTTGTCATGTATGCTATACGATGATACTATGAATTGAATTTTTTGTATATATTAGTTTTTTTTGTATGTACTCTACATTAAAGATATACAATAGTTTGTGATATTTTATATTTTATCTCACAATATATTTTTACATAAAATATGACATTTTATAAAATATTTCAATTCTTGTTTTAATCCTTTCCTGCTCAATTCAATGTAATGACCGATTATGATTTTTTAAAAATCATATTTTTGAAAAATAAGTTACAAAAGAGATTTCAAACTGAAGGCCGAACTCCAATAGCGTCGTTGTTTTTACCGATAAAATGCAATTTACACACGTAAAATTTACAAACCTTAACACATTCTGAGATACTATTATACTATACTAGTATCACATACATATATATATATATATGCGTAGGATTGGAAAATTACTTTATAAAAGTAATTCGTTACCGTTACTCATTACTGATTAAAAAAAATAATTTGTTATTGTTACCGTTACTTAAAAAGTAAAGAACTATTATAATTTCCGTTACATTTTCATTGAATTTTGACAATTCCTCTTTTAAAGTGACGTTCAATACCTAATCTTACAACGAATTCGATTGAATGCATTAGTGTGCACTAACAATAAGTGCGCCCTCTTTCAGTGTCATAGTATTGGCTTGCACTCCAACGTGTGCTTCACTATTGAAAAAAAATTTATCCAATCCAAAAAAATGATTTGAACAAATAATTTACTTACATAATACTAACGATCAATTAATTGGAATCAAATTAAAATATTGTTTAGAATAAGTTTCTAGTTTAAGATATTATTTGTTAAACAGTAATAAATCATTAATTACATTCAAAATACACAAAGTGAAATGTATAAAATATTTATTTAAACAAGTACACTACTTACTGTTTTTAAATGTAATGCTAATAAAATTGGGTAGTTATTTATCAGGTTTAAATAAACAATTGTCGAATTTAAACAATCTATAAATTAAATTTTGTAATAAACGTTTATTGTAATAAAATATTAACTTGAATTCTATTAATTGTTTTAGAAAAAAAAACTTACGAATTTTAAACAGACTAAATGTTTACTTCTTATCATCCAATTATCAAAATAAGAAAGCATAATCTCCTTTTAAAATAATGTTTATTTCATTAAACTATGTAACTAAAATTTATTTATTTTATATATATTTTATATATATTTGATAAACTTACTAAATATTTATTGAAATGTAACATAAAATAATAATATATATAAAAAATAATAATATATATACATATAAATATATAAATATTCACGCACACACGCGCGCGCGCGCACACACACACACACACACACACACACAAAATTTATTTAAAATAATTAAAATTAAAATGGAGTAAAAATGCTCGTGTATTTTCTTAAAATTAAAACAATGTTATGGCTTATTTCGAGCTTTAATTAAATTAACTTTGAATTAATATAATTAACAAACGTTTCGGCTTACAAACCCTTTCTCAGTGCTACAACGCAGAAATACAATTTTAAATTAATTGCATTAAAGAATAACAAATGAATAACAATGAAAATTTAAGAACTATCAATGGTGAAGTGTCAAAATATAAAAAAATATCAAACGTCAATAAGTATCTGGCCAGATGACAATAAGGTAGGAACATTTAAATACTTTAGTCAACAATAGATTAATTATGTTTATCGATAAAGACTTGCCAAATTCCTCAATTGAGATCGAGAATCCAGTTTACCACAGACTTGTATTATACGATTTGAGAATTCTTTAGTTAAGAGTATTTTATGATATTCTGTAGAACAAATAGACATTAAGATAATATATTAATAGTGAGAATAAAAGGTACAGAATCAAATAATAACTTACAATAATTTATATAAAATACTGTAATCTACAATCAAAGATTCAGTTAAATACATTAAAGATACTGATTGTTGCTCGTTTGAAAATTAACTGAAGTGTAGGTCAAATAAAAGTAAGTCAATAAAATCGAGAAAACAAGTCTGTTCAAAACTGTGAACATTTATGTTTTTGTCAAGTATGTTAAAATAGAGTTATCCAATAACTCAGTAAATTTAAACCGTTTTTTTGTTCTTTAATATATCATTTCAGAAATATTTCTTTTACGATAATTCTTTTCGAAATCAAGAATACTAATTTTTTCCCAATCAAAGTCATGATTAGTTTCCGTTATATGTTTCGAGATTACTGAATTTGGACTGGTCTAATTTTATATTATTACGATGTTCTTTAATTCTTGTCTGCAATTGTCTCTTCGTTTGGCCAACATATGATGCATCGTAGTTATTACAGTTTACTTTATATATGACATTATTTATATCATGTTGATTTTTGTCTTTATGAACTTTTATAAATTTATTGAGCTTGTTTAAACACCTATAGCCAATCATGTTTTTGGATTTATCAATAGACTTAGTAATTTTATTAGAAATAGATCTTATATATGGGAAAACTATTCTCTCTTTCAAAACTTCATCAGTGTCAACGTTAACTGAGCTGATGTTATTAACCATCATAGATTTTCTACAAGCCAACTTTTGATCCTTTTGTTAATATAATAAAAAATCAACAAATATAGAATTTATAATAGAAAATTCGAAGGATAACGGTTATCCTTTAGGAATGATTTTTTATCTTCTTTTTTATTCTTTATTTATTTATTTAGGAATTTGGCAAATCTATCTTTATCGATAAACATAATCTACTGAAGTATCCAATTGACTGAAGTATCCAAATGTTCTTACCTTATTGTTATCTGGCGGAATACTTATTGACATTCGATATTTTTTTATATTTTTTTATATTTTGACTTCACCATTGATAGTTTTTAAATTTTCATTATATTCGTTATTCTTTAATGCATTAATTTAAGATTGTATTTCTGCGTTGTAGCACTGAGGAAGGCTTTGAAATGTTTGTTATATTAATTCAAAGTAATTTAATTAAAGCCGAAATAAGCCATGACATTGTGTTAATTAAAATTAGCTTAAAATTGATTTCATATTAATCTCATCTTAAAAGTGTCCCAGATCTAACGTACCACTTGCTAATAGCAGATTCCTAAAGTTGTTTTAAAATGAAAATTCTAATACCAAAATGTCGAGGCTATAATTATATACAATTTGAAAACTATTATAGCCTCAACATTTTGATATTATAATTTTTATCTCAAACTTCAGAAATCTAGTAAGTGATGCAGTAGGTCTAGGACATCATGTATATTATATAATAAATCTCGAATTGAACGTTATAGCATGCAGGCAGATGATACACCCGTTGTCGCCAAAATAACAGATCGCAAGACGTGTACAGAATGTTCTATATGTAATTAATGTTGTAATTGCTAAATAACCAACGGTGAAATTTGGTAAAAAAATCACAAAAATTTTTTATCTTCTCAATTCTGTAGAATTAAATTTAAAAACGATCAAAAGCTTATTAAAGTATAAACTTCGAGCTCCAAAATGCTTCTTCAATTTTTTCCAATGATATTTCATCGAATTTTAATGTTGGTTGTGAGCTATGCAAATTTAGCTTCAATAATGTGCAATTCAGTCAAGAAAAGTCATAAGAAAATTTTTAAAAAAGCATTTTGAAAGTAAATCTTTGTACTATTTTACAAAAATATTGAACTTTTTGAAAAAAAAAAAACTTTATTAAACTGCGCACTATTAATTGTAAAAAATACAACATGATATTTATTAAGAACTGTAAAAACAAAAATTTTTTTGAAAAGTAGTCAAAAGCATGTTAAAGTATAAGTTTCAAGCTTTAAAATGCTTTTTTATTTTTTTATCTGCGATGATTTTTTTACCGAATTACAGTGACCTGAATATTATGCAATTTTAAGTTCCATGTTCGAAAATTTTTCGGGGGTATATACGTGAAATATAGTAATTATACAGTAATAAATTGAATTTCAATACGAAAAATCATTCAATCACTATTAATAATCATTTAGTGCAAAAAATATACAGTTTGAAATAGAATAATAGCATTTCTGTTCTATTTTATTTATTACGACATTTATTGATTCTACAAATACAAATACATATATATTTGTTAATTCTACAAATACAAATTTATAATATTTTTATTTCGAATCACTTATCTTTTGTTTATATACTAAGAAAAAAATGTGCATGGAATATAATTTCTTTTATTAAACAAATGTTTTTTATAAACTTTATATAGTCTAGTACGAATACATTTTGCTGTAATGTAACTTAATTGTTACTTCATTTTATCTCAAATAATTTAAAATAATTGCAATAACAAATATTTGAATATATTTGACAAAGAAAATAAACTTTCTTTTAAAGATTTTACCACTAAATACTTAATTTTTACAAATAAAAAATGAAAATTATTACTCATATTATTTTCATTGTAATATTATTTGTCATTTCGGTACAGTTTCCGCCACTTGAAACGTTGCGCATCGCATGGTACCGAGATAATAAATGTTATAATGGAAAATATAATCAAATTAACGTTTTGTAGTGCAATATTATTCACATTTGACCCAATTTGGAGTTAATTTTATAAATAAATTATTGAAATATAACTGACAGTGATTTTATAACGATGTGAATAAGGATTTTATTCATTTCATTTCGATATACTAATTTTTCTTTAAGTCTGGCGTGATTATTTTCGGTTTCTACGAAGAAAAATACGTAAGAAAACATAAAAATATTATACAATGATCCCCGAAGAGAAATCTTTGAAAATTTCTATCCTCCTTTGATGAATAGAATAAAAGAGTTAATAAATTAATAGAATTCTAAAATAAAATGGCACAGATAATAATTTCATATCTAGAAATACCAGGAAGTAGTTCATTTTTCCGTATATACGGGATTTCTAATAAAGATATTTCTTTATATTAGGAGACACCACAGACATAACAAGAATAGACCGAGCATGTCCTCTTTGGCGTAAAGATCAGGTAAAAAAGGACAGAGAGCAAGATATTCACACCTTACTTCTCCTCCCCATTTTTTCCTAGTTAGAAAGAGAAAGCTATACGACATTCATTATCCGTCCTTTTCTACCTAGTCTTCACATTTCAAACCTCACGCTCGGTCTATTCTTATTATAATAATAATTATGTATGTAGGGGACACCTCTTGGATAACCTTGACCTTAACATATGTTATAGAGGTAAGGGTATGGCGATCAACTTTTTTTTTATAAATTAATTGGCGGTCTCATATGATTTTCGAGATATATTTATATAAAGCTCATTTTCAAAATTTTCTTATTTTTTCTATGATACCCTGCATATGATAGATAGTATACATAAGTGACCTTCAAAAGGTTTTACGTAACGGTCACTTGTATTGTTCGTTCAAAAGTTATTAATCAATAAAGTTTAAAAAATAATGTCTTATTTCTATCATATACAATATTAAAAATTACCATATACTCTTCCTGCCTATGGACGCACGACTTTCGACATGAAATGAGAACCATACCAAATGTCCCCTGCTTAGAAGTGTTAAGACTTTCCACGCGAAGCATCCTACCTCCCTTCCTGCTTAGAAGCGATCGACTTTTCACGCGAAGCGAGGCTCACTTCATCGGCTTTCTCCTCACAAAAGTCCAGATAACATTTATGTTGCATAAGATATCTAAAACACGTTTTTTAGATATCTTATACAACATGCATGTTATCTGGGAGAGAAGGTGAGGTGGACCTTGCTTCGCATGGAAAGTTATATGCTCCGAAGTAGAGAGAGAGAGAGAGAGAGAGAGAGAGAGAGAGAGGGGAGGGGAGCTTTCATAAAAAATCGTATGCCCCTAGGTAAGAAGAAAATGAGGTGAAAACCTTTCGCGTGAAAAGTTGTGTGCTCGTCAATATAGCAAAAATAAGACATTATTTTTAAAATTTTATTTGTTAATAACTTTTGAACGAACACACGCACGCACGCAAGTGACCGCCATCTAAAACCTTTTGAAGGCTATTTGAGTCCTGACCTTTACAACATGTCAGGGTTATTGGTGCGACCGTCAATTCGAATAATTACCGAATATTTATTACTGGTAGCAACATATATATGTTATAGCTTTGCTTGTATTACACGATACATTCTACCTTGCTGAGGAATCTGTCTAATTTTTTTAGTTTTCATTATTTCTAGTGTATTGTAGACTTATTTATTTAGTAAGACGAAGATTTAATACAATATATCTTAATACAATAAATAAGATTTAATAGAATAAATCTTCGTCTTACTAAATAAATGAGTCTACAATATACTAAAAATAATAAAAACTAAAAAAATTAGACAGATTCCTCAGCAAAGTAGAATGTATCATGTAACATATAATATATATAATGTGCATGTGATCACACGTAACTCCAGCATGCTGTCTGCTCATTTGCTAGCAAGTTTTATTGATATATTTTTGCTTGAGGATACTTATTAAACAAGCATGAAAATGTGTTTACTAGTAAAAGTTTTTATTGTTTATGAATATATTTATTAAATTAGTATTTGTGTAATAAATTTTAAACTCAGAAAGAAGAGTCATAATTACACGGTTGGCTTCTCAAAATAACATATACCGAAATTAACTCGCTTTAAGGAGTGCCGGAATGCACCCTTCACAGAATCGGTTATAAAGTAGGATCGTAGGAAGAACTCGGCGAAGCACCGAAATCTGTTGGGAACCAAAAAAGCCACAGTGCGGAGATCGAGCGCTCCTTAACAAGGAGCTCCTCAACTACTCATTACGCAAAAGCGTTTTTGCATCCAACACCGATGGGATACCTATGGGGCATTTGCCAATATATATAAATGATATCACATGCTCAGTTTTGATTTAGTGTTTGATGACACATTGTGTCAGCATGTAATATTCAGAATCTACTAATTTATGCTAATTAATTTTTACAAGATTTTTAATAATATATCTTGATACTTTGTTTTGGAACTGTTTCGTGCTGTATTTTTATCGACATTAACTGAGACGGCAGATTATTGTCACTACTGCTAGAATTCTGTCAACATAGTACGTATATGTGACACACAAATTGTAATACATGATCTTGGCAGACTTTGCTAGGTATATTTATTTTTCCAATCTGAAAATACTAATAATTTTTTGTATATTAACATATTATTTTTTGAATTTTTGCTATTACATATGATGATAGATTATGCCCCTACAGTACAAAGTTGCACAAAAATTGCAGCAACACTGCTGCATCATTACAGCAACATTGCATGTTATGGCAATATTGCAGATTTTACAGCGATATTACACATTTTGTGCTGTATGGGTGATTTCTGCTATATTTTTGTTTTTAACAGCTGATAAAGCAGATCACAACATATATATGCTGCATTTTGGACAGATACTTCGTGACGGCAGGCTATGCTCGATTTTTATTGATTTTTGCTGTATTTGATATGATAAATCAGTATTCCTACTGCTTTATCGTTCTCACATAGCAATATGCCAGACTTTTAAATATATTTTCTAACTTAACATGACATGTTAAATTCAGCTTTGATTTATTTTTTGTTTATATATTATACGTGCCAACATATAATGTTTGAATTTTGTTGTATTTATGTCGAATTATTTTGCTTAATTTTTATAATATATTATTTTTTACTATGTTATAATGCAGTTTCTGTAGAATTTTTGCTGTATTTTTGTTAAGACTAGTTGAAATGACAAAATGCTCGACTACTGCCTGATTTTTGCCAATATATATAGTATAAGTTTGCAGTAGGTAATTTCGGCACGTCTAGTTATCTGGGTATATATGTATATCAGATATTGGGAAGCACTGAAAATATACAAAAATTTCATGAAAAAAAATTCTAAATTAATAACATATACAGTTTAAATAATTAAAAAAAATTATTAGACACAAATTTTGCATTTTAAAATACATACTTACATAAAATTTTAGCAGAATCAGTGAGCAATACTCTAAATGTAAGTCAATTTTATAAAAAAAGGTTTACTTTAAAAAAATATATATATCTATATATTCGTACTTCCATGATAAGTTGGTTATGATAACTGCGTTGATGAGAACGGTAACGATTGGATGCAAGACCGACAGTCCTGAAACACAGACGACTAATGCAAAGCCGAAAAGGGTCGCGACCCATTGTTTTGTACGAAGTCCTCCTATTTTACAATAAAATGGCCCGAACGCTATGGAAAGTAATAGCAATAGTACATAAATAACATCATCCCACAACATTGTTCGAATGTAAATGAATGGCACTTCCTCTTCTTTTTTCGTTAATATAGCACCTGATTTCCAAGTCCAGATTCGATTAAAATTCCTTGGTTTTAGATTATATAAACAGCAGGAGTTAGTTCATTAAATAAGCACAGACACATAACATACAATCAACATCATAATATGATCACAGACCACGATGTTAGTATAGATCATGATATAAAGGTGCGATTACATGTAGCGCGGTACGCGGATTAAGAAGTCACGAACTAATCAGAGGGCCGCATTAGCGTCTTAAAACATTACTTAAGACGGTCTTGAAATAAGAATCGACTATGAATACTGGCCTAGGTTTGTTCGTATATTCCATAGACATAATAAGAATGAACCGAACGCGAGCTTTGAAACGTGTAGAGAGCTTATAATCAGAGTGGCGCCATACGAGAGATGACATCATGTTTTAGCGAAATTCTGCGAGAGAGAAAGAGATATACGGTCTCAGTCTATTCAACAGATTGTCAGTTTTAGGGTTAGGTGCAACAGCATTGAACAACAGATATGTAAAGATACATTGATAAAAATAAAGTTATCGAAATCATTTTAGAAATATGGTTTGATGTACAATACCATTTTGTAACAAGTCATTATAAAAGGATATGAAAATAATTCCGAAAGACATAGAACGCCGAATGAATTGGTTAAAGAGTATAAATGGCAAATATAAAAATTGGACCGTCAAAAAATTCATCTGTATGTGAGGTAAAGTAATTTATTCTTTATAAATAATGTATTTAAAATATTAAAATAAAAATGTAACACAAAATATACACAGATTAATTATAATATCTGAAGACACGGTAGTGTCTTGACTAAGTATATGTACAGTCACATTGGTTACGAATTTAATTCTTTCTCCTTTTTGTCGTAATCTTTTCAATTATATATCATTGCATTGTGAGTCTAAATCAAATAATATGATAATTACGATATTTAATATATATCCGCGGTACTTTGTCACTAGATATATGACCATCAACACACATCTAGTGACAAAAAACCGCGGATACTTTTTAGATGACCCAATATATTATTATTTTATATACAATATTTATTTATTATCATTTTTTAATTTGTCACAATTTTTGAGCATTTTTTAGCATGAATTCAAAATTTAGAAAATAATGCGTTTAAAAAACTGGAGGGAATGACTAAAACATGGCGGATCAATCACAAGTGATAGCCGTATGGCGTCACTCTGATTGTAGACTTTCTAAAAACGTGAAGTTTATTTGTCACTAGTCTATGCCGCTTACCGCGCTACATGTAAGGCCGGGTTCCCACTTTGACAAAAAAACGGAAAGCGGAAAAGCGGAAACCAATCGAAACTCGCAGTAGTGTAGTAGGCGATACATTTCGCTTGTCTGCTTCTGTCTTTCCGCGAGTTCTGATTGACTTCCACTGTTCCGCTTTCCATTTTTCCGTAAAGGTGTAAAACCGGCTTAATAGAGGAGAAAAGAAGTAGGTTCTACGCAACGACACTGAACTGTCGGCGCTTACTCAACTGTTGAGTCCGCTGAACGCAGCCAGTATTGTAAATATTATTGTAATTGTAAAATATTAAATACCACACAGTGATAATTTTTTTTATATTATATATCATTTTAATAAGTAAATTATTAACATAAAGTTAATAGTGTTTAAATTATATTCATCCTGGATGCATCTTTGACGTAAACATAGCACAAAATGCGTGATGGAAAAGTACGGAATAGCGCTGATTGGTTGTTTCAATGACACATTCTCTATTCCGCAGTTCTATATCGCACCATGTGATTTCATCCTTACAATTTGAGACAACGTTTTGATTGGTCAAAGAGCAGTCTCCATGTTCAAGACGATTGCGCATCCTTGCGAATTGGAAATGGAACACCTTATATCACCTTATATTCTTATGCCATGAGTACTCCATTCACAATTTTGCAACACTACGACGATTTGGCCGGAATCGTCATTATTTCATCGGCGAGCGCCATTAAATTAGAAGAAGAAGGAAACGCCTCGATACCGCCCGACAGCAACATTGGCTTGCATTGATTGACTGTTACTGGTTCATACTGTCTGATCCGTCCCGCATCAGCAACGGCCAGCAACGGCCGTCGAACTGTCGAAAATCGAAACGTGGCTGACTGCTGAATGCGTCATCCGGAAATGATGGACTTCAGATCAAAGCAAACGTGAAACATACATGATGCTTGGGTATATAAAAGTTTCCTTTTCTTTATCTTTCCCCTCCTTTATCTTTCTTTTTTTCTTCCATTTCATACATCGCACATATGTACATACCACACATACATACGCTACGCTTGCATCCGTAATACATTACATGCATCAAGCGATGCGTAGTTCGTAGCGATATTTTTCCTCAGGCACTAAGTACGAACTACGAAGGTCTGTCGATTTATGCACGACTCTTTGGAAAAACATCATTGCTTCATAATCTAAGGGATGCTGTATACCGATGTAAGATGCACTTCTGAGATACATGTGTGTACCCTATTTTTCTGTTTAATTTTTTCTTTTCATTGCGAAGTGTTTCTCATAAAATTACGAGATCCATCATATCTTCTTACATCATGATGAGATCAACAATCCATTGATCAGATTTGTGAGGATATAATGTATGTAGCTCATTGTCAATAACATCAAAATTTACTTCCTTGTTAGAGAGAGAGAGAGAGAGAGAGAGAGAGAGAGAGAGAGAGAGAGTAGAAAGTATGTACCGTTACATAAATATGTGTAAATGTAGTTAAACAATGTATCTAAACTGGTTTATGTAATGTCTCGGCTGCTTTTTTCAGTTCATTTTCCTAAAGCAAAAAAATGCTTTTTTATAACTTTTTAGAATAAGATGTGTCTAGCTTATAAATTTATTATCACCATACAATTCTCAGATGTTAATAAACGCGAGAAAAATGTTCCAGATCAAATAGTTATAAGATCTTCCCTTGTTCGCAGGTTTTAGCTGGATTATGCATCAGCTTTCATTGAATATACTTGCTGCTTTTCAGTTTGTAAATGCTACAACATGCCACCAAAACAGAGGAAAATAGCTATTATGGGCTATAGATCTGTAGGTAAGATATATGTTATATAATAAGATATCCTTTTTGCATAAATATCATAGATTATAGGTACAGACTTTCTTGATCTTAGTGTCTGTATTCTGTTTGAAAGAAAACATCTAATCGTATCAGCATTTCTTCAACTTGGTACTTTAGAGAAAGAGAGAGAGGAAGAGGGAGAGAGAGAGTGTGTATATGTGTAATAAAAATTAAGTTAATTCATTCTAAAAACCAAACTGATAGTTACAACCTTTATAGGATATCACAGTCTGTACCTATTATTATAGGGAATGTAACTTGAAATTTTTTGCAGTAAGACATGATTAACATTATATAACTGAAGATACATTTATATATTTACTTAAATATGTATTTAATATATATTTAATTTTAATAGGTAAATCATCTCTTAGTATACAATTTGTCGAGGGACAGTTTGTAGACTCATATGATCCTACAATAGAAAATAGTAAGAAACACTTTTCTTATTTAGTTTTTATTATTTTATTTTATTCTATTATTTTATTATTTTATTCTACGAATCTATAATTTATGAAAATTGAATGCATTATGCAATTTAAAAGTATTACAAGTCTTTCGCATGTTACAGCGTTCACAAAAAGTACACGAGTAAATAGTCAAGATTATGAACTCAAACTAGTAGATACAGCTGGTCAGGATGAATATAGTATATTTCCTACTCAGTATTCGATGGATATTCATGGCTATGTTCTAGTATATAGCATAACCAGTGCAAAGAGTTTTGAGATTGTACAAATTATTTATGACAAATTACTCGACATTACTGGAAAACTCCAGTAAGTATCTAAGTTCTCAAATGTTCAATATTTGTTCGATGTTCATGCAGCATTTATAGATGTTGAAGATGATAACATCTTCGGTTTTATAGTGTTCCAATCGTATTAGTGGGTAACAAAACAGATCTGTATGTTGATCGTATGATCACGACAGATCAAGGAAAACGTTTAGCAAACTCTTGGAATGCAGCATTTCTAGAAACTAGTGCAAAACAAAATGAGGTATCTACAGATGCTTTTCCAGTCTAGAAGTATATTGCAAAATTTTTATTGATCGCATTTTCCGTAGTCTGTTGCAGATATTTTTCACACACTATTAAAAGAGATCGAGAAAGCCAATGGGAATGTACAAGAAAAGCCGAATTGTATTATTTGTTGAATTGTTTGAATCAATGGCTTTAACAAAAATGTAAATGTGTAAAATTTGGTAAAAGAAACCATCATCGTTATACTCTGATACCTTTACAATCCCATTAAGATAAATACAAGTGTCAAAAAATGTAAATGAAAAGTGCATGTTAAATGATTATATTTTATTTTTTCTCGCTATACATTATAGATAATTTAGTTATCAATATACATGATACACAACCATGAATAATATTCATGGTTATATTAATTATACAATGGTTATTATTTTTATGATATAATTATACTTATATACATTCTTATATACATACATTTTGGTTTAACGTTCGAATTATATAATTAAGATAATCTAGTATTTTATTATTATAATTTCTATTTGATTATGTTTTGGATCCCCAAATAGATGTAGAATCTATTATTAAGATCAACACTCATATAAGTTAAATTATAATTTTAGTTAAGTCTAAGGTTTCTATCCTTTTTAATACATTTAAATACATCTCCTTTTATAAAAAAAAATACATATTGAAAGGCTAACTTAAAAAATATATTTCTACACTAAATATCAATTATACAAAACGTTTTCATTTGTTATGATTGTTATAATTATGATTCTCACTGATGATAGTGCACAAGAAAATAAGGCGATAGAATGTATATCGTTATGTAAAAAAAATTAAAAAAGATGTGTCAGATAGCACTGTTCCAAAACGGCCACCCATCCATAATGAATAATTTACAGGATTGAGAAGTAATTAATTACTCGTAATTAAGTTACAGTTTGACTTCCTTCCTTTTTTCAGTATAGCTTAATTTCATTCCTTTTTTTACAATTGTAACTTTATTTAATTACATTTTATTAGTAATTAGTAACTAATTTGAATTACTTTTTCAGTTACTTTATTTTGTATTTATTTGTTAATTTAATATGGTTAGAATTTAAATAGTTGCGCTACTGCTGCTGCTGATTGCGTATAAGACAAAAACTAAACCTTAGACATATTGTGTCTAAAGTATCCGCGGTTTTTTGTCACTAGATGTGTGTTGATGGTCATATATCTAGTGACAAAGTACCGCGGATATTTTTTAGATGACCAATATATAAATTGAAGGGGAATAGAACACTGAGCTTGATACAAAAATCTGTGCGGGAGAAAGATAATAACGGACAAATATTGGTAAAGCGCATGCGTCTGTTCCTCGTTCTTGTTGTCCATCATCGCCCTGGAAATCGATTCTGTATCTTGAAACGAAGTGAAAATTACAAAAATGAACGAATTTACTAGAATATCGATAATTTCATTGGTCAATACTTAGTAAATTTGCTCACTTTTGTAATTTTCACCTTGTTTGAAGATACGGAATTAACCCCTTGTAATTGAATCCCTGCTTCCCGATCCCACATGCGGTATTAGAACAAGGAACACCGCAACCGACGTCGGCGCATTGGGAACATTTATTCCTTACTACCTTTTTCTCTCGCATAGATTTTCGCATCAGCGCGGGTCATGAGCAAGTATTGGGTCATGTAAAAAATATCCGCGGTTTTTTATCACTAGATGTGTGTTGATAGTCATATATCTAGTGACAAAGTACCGCGGATACTTTTTAGATGACCCAATATGACCAACACACATCTAGTGACAAAAAACCGCGGATACTTTTTAGATGACCCAATATGTTAAGTACATGTATTGTATAAGATGTGTGATGTAAAGCCGGTTCTATATTAGTTGCAAGCTGATCGCAAGTTTGTGCAACAGCCAATATGAAGCTTGCATTTTGAAATTAACGCTTACAATTAATGTAGAACTGAATTAGCTATGCTCCATGCAATTCCTATAAATGAATATAAATGCATTCAGGATTGAAAAGTATTCATTTTAACATTCGTGAATCAATATTTCTGAAAATCTGAATCCATTTCAATTTATTTCAATCCATTTTTGTTTGCTGGGACGTCGTTGGTATAAGACTCTAAGAGCATTTTGCGGTTACAGAAATTAAAAAGGCCCTCATGTCCTTTTTGAGATTTCTTTCTGGTTCTATTCATCATTTCTAGAGCTATATTCCGAAACATCTTCTCCGAGGAAAATTTTCCTCGAAGAATACGTTTTAGTTAGAATTTAACCTAGATATATATATCTTATTATTTATTAATTTTATTAATTGTTTATTAACAAAACAAAAGGAAAGTTATGATATATTTTACAAGTCAGATTAATCGATTGTTTTATTGAAACACATATATTAATATATTTTGCAAGAATTTTTATTATATTTTTTCGCTTCTGAGTATTATGAAATTGTTCAGAATAGATCTTGATTTGTAATTCGATTATTTTCTAGATTTCTATTGTATTTTGTGAAAAAAAACGAAATACTTAATTTCAATTGAAACCTATTTCAAAACAGTTCGCAATAATAGTCTCATGAAACCATCCGAGCGGAGGTTGAACGTGATTCTCGCTTCGGGTGTTACGTCACCTCAACTATTTTTTCGTAAAGCATGGCCGGCTTTGACTGCATTTGCATCTTCTAACTCTCAATCCCTTCATTCATCTGGACGCGCGTCCGTGCGGCGCGAAAGTGTTGTAAACCATTATAGATGCAGGCACCCAAGGTCCAAGGTCTGGAAGGTTTTATCATTTTTTTTGTTTGGTTTACATTATCCTGTTTCGAGATTCTCGTTTGTCTGGTTCGAGATGGCCGGTGCCTTGCATTTCTATATACAGATTAGTCATTTCAAAGACCATTAATTCATTACTGGCTAAATTGCCTCGGTAGTCTCGGTACAAAGGGCGCAGGCCAATCAAAGAGGAAGGAAGGAAATTGCATAATACGTGCCCGGAGCATGTATTATTTAACTCTTTATTTTTACACGTATTATTTTCTGATGTCACAAATTGAGATAGTAGTGATGAGCAAACAGGAGTATTAAGTCTATAATCAAATCCATAATTAAACCCACAATAGGTAAATAAAAGAGTGAAGTGTATTAGTATTGTGTCTGATTATATGACTATTAATTGTAGTCAAGTTGTGTTCAGTAGAACACAATAGTTTTGCAATCATTTTATGATTGCTGCTGAGATAGGACCATTTCTAGGGCTGGGTTCGGGGAGATATTAGTGTTATTAGGTCATTCTATCTTCATCGTTATTAAATGTGAAACAAGGAAATATGACACAAATAGCGTTGATAACGTGCTCCCCGAACACAGCCTAGATCTAAAAATATAATTCAATCAAGAAGTTGAAGAAAACCTCTACCAATTGCAAAATAAACTTTCTGTTGAACGCAACCAATATCGTATTACAATGCAAATATTCGCAAGCGTCCACAAGAAGGATAAATCACGAACGCATAGTTCAATGAACGAATTCGGAACAAACTCAGCTTTTTCTTTTTCTCAACGATAAGACGAGACTTTAATATACTAAAAAATATTCTTCCAACCTGACTTATTTCTTGTTTACATTTAAATAGATAGCCATAATTTATAACCGTGTTATATGGATGTACAATAAAATACAATACATATATGTACGTAAATTCTAAAAACGGTATGTGTACTTTGGCTCAAGGTTCCATACATATGGAAATTCAAATATTCCTTACACATGACTTAATTTACAATGTTAATCCTACTTTAAGCACTTTGCGAATCAGTAACGCGCCAGTACAGACGCCGGCGATGCAATTAATTCGTTTTTATAAATCAATTTCATTTATGTAATTATTTTCACGACTTTTCTAAATTTATTAATAATTAGCTTTCGTTTTATACTCGAATAAAGTAGATGAATAAAAATTTGGCTTTTATTTTATTAAATTGTCTCTTATGACATCTTTATTTATTTCGAGTGACTGTAATTTGTAGTTTTTTCTCATAAGATATCTATAAAAAATCAATTTATTCGAATTTCATTATTCATAGAATTTATACATAGAAATTCTACTGAAATCAATCTAAATGGAATTTCCATTAAATATAATATAAAAAAAATTAACAATAAAATTTATTTAAAATTCGAAAAATAAATTAACGAATTAATAATGATAAATAATGGTGGTATTTGTATTAAACCATTAAAATACAAATATTACAATTATTACGAAAAATGACTAATCATTTAATTATTTTTAGATTTAAACCGATTTTTAATTTATTTCATTTTTTTATTCTAATTATAATAAAAATTTGATAATTAAATTCAGATAATTAAAATAATGTTCAAAGATATCAGAAGGTTTGTAGGTTATCGCCGTGTTTTTATCCATTACTAATGATAACCTTTTCGTGAACCTTGTCATTCACTTCTATTAGGACGAGGAGCACACTGATAATGAGCTGCTGCTCCAGGAAACACTCTGTAGACGCTGTAGAGAGGGGTAAGGATATGTTGGGGAAGGAGGAGGTCTTTCTTGACTTGTCAAGAGAGCAATCTTTCATATCCTATTTACATTATAACCTGAGTCTTTGTTCAAATTATCTGGATGTTTTTGTATTTCTAGGACCTCTGTATTTCTTTAGGAAATATGACGTTGTTGTAGCTAGTAATCGTTTTGTCGAATATTTGATGTCCTATCTCAACACTATGTTCTGCCAATGCTGATTGTGTGGTATGTTTCAGCCCGTTGACCCTTTATGCGTCTTTAGGATTTCTCAAGATTTGCTCGAGCTTTCTTGGAGGCTTGAAAATGGTTTGGATGTTGTGTTTGTTCAAAATGTCGATTCGGTCTGTTGTTCCTTTTACATATGGAAAAATGGAAAGGCTTCTTTTGTTTAACTCTTCTTGTGATTGTGTGTCCAAGTTGTTTGCCCCGCTTCTATGTTTGCTGATTGTCCTGTCCACTTTTTTCTTATTGCATCCGCTGCATTCCGCTGTAAGGTTTGTTTCAAATAGTTGAGTTCTGTTTGTAGATGTTTTTTCATCAGAGATACTGAATGCTCCATGTATAAGTAAATGTATTGCCACTGTTTTTGTGTTGGATGATGGTGCAACTTGGCATATAAGTATCTGTGTATTGGCTTCCTGTATACTTCATGGCCCAAATATTGTCAGCCTTCTTTGTGACAAGAACATCCAAGGGAAGCTTATCATTCTCTTGTCCATGAAGAATGGAATATTAGGATGTTGGTTGTTGAGGAAGTTCAAGAATTTGTGAAATTCATCACTACCATATCTCCAGATTACGAAAGTGTCATCTACATAATGAAACCAATTTTTAGTTTATTGATCGCCTTACAAAGGATCTATTCTTCAAGTGCTTCATGAACATGTATGCAATTACAGAAGAGATGGGAGAGCTCATAGCCGCTCCAGACATCTGTTTGTAGAATTAGTTAAGTGTGTAGGAATTATTATATTATAGGAGTTGAATTATTGTAGGAAAAATATGTGATCATTAGGCAATTAAATGGGATGATGTTATTGGGGACATTATGTGAGGTTTTAATTATATTTAGGATTTCTTTTATTGGGACGTTTGTGAAAAGTGATTCTATATGACAAGGAAGACCTCCCCCTTTTCCAATATACCCTCATTCCCTTCTACAGAGTCTACAAAAAGTTTTCCGGAGGAGCAGTTAAGTATCAGTGTGCTCCTCGCACTGATGAAGTGAACGGTAAAGTTCACGAAACGTTGGCATTAGTAATGGACAAAAACACAGCGATAACCCACAAATCTTTTGGTATCTTTAAAGATAACAGTGAAAGCATAAAAAGCGTCAAAATAATGTTCATTATAATATAAATAATTATAAGATAAAAGTTTGTGTGTAGAGTATATTTCTAAAAAAACATCCACCGTGAGGAAAATAATTATTTTAAACTTCTACAAAAAAAATGTAACAAAAGATCCAAAAGGATTCCATGAATTCTCTCAATTCTGAACTGGAAACCATTCTCATGCTTATCTCAGGTTATCTATGGACGGTGAGTATCTAACACGATCACTTAGCCCTGTTTATGTCTGTTAGAGATCCTTAAGTAAGAGCTTGGACACAGTTTAGACAATTTTTATTGATCCACCATATTTTTAAAGATCATTAAGATAGAATGTGATATACAGGGTGGGCCAAAAGTTTGGATACATCCAAATATCTCATAAACGATGCATTCAACGATAGTAGTTATTTGATCTAGAATGACGTTGTCAAAGTCAGGTCAAGATCAACATGAATTTTTTAAATGGAATTTCCTCCTTTTTCATTACATATTCTTGTAGCTTATCTCGAGAGCTTTCTAAAACACTATAATTACTACACTATAATAGGCTTTCTACAATAATCATTATTATAGTCTACAAGTCATTATTTCTAAACTGTAAGAAATTGACCAACCAAGGTTGAATATGAAAAGAATAATTGATCAATTTCTTATGGCTTTTAAGACTTAAAGCTTAGGTAATAACTTATTGTAGAAAGCCTATGAGATAGAATGAGATGGGTGTATATTCCATTTTATCTTAAGCAGGTCCTGAAACATATAGCACACCAAATTCTCATGTCCAATCTCTTATTTGAGGATTTTCAGGCTGCCTTACTGCTTATCCTACCAGAGATTAATGACTTAATCTTTTACAATATGTCAGAAAAGCTTGTTGCAAAATGTCAAGCGAATCTTAAGGAACGAATGTCATTCGCGAGAATAGACTCCACTATGCTCTATGCGAAAAGTGCAAATTTCATTGTAATAATTTGTAATGGACACCGTCTTCCCCCTTCCCTCTCTCTATCAACTTTATATTAAAATAAAAGTATTATACTTATTTGACAGATGCAACTGCTTGTGATTGTAACTGTAAAATGTGAACAGAACTCTTCATAAATCAACATGAATTAACATAAATTAATTTTGTGAAAATAGCCGTTGTTAATCAGTTGTCGCATGATGAAATCTATTTTTGTGCCGCGAAACAAAAACTGAAATATCAATTGATAACTGTTGATGATCAATTGATAATGGTGCAAAACTAATACATGATCTACAGTTACTTATCGCCATTGGTTATCCATATTGTACAATATATATAATTTAAATTTTATAAAATCATTAATTAATTCTAAAGTAATTTTGGCTTATCGACATATTGTTTGCCATGATGGATAATGGTGGCAAAGGTGCCGGCCACCATGGCGCCCCAGAATAGCATATAGAGTAATATTTCTGTTGTGTATCGCGATGGTAAGATTATGTGAGCGACCAACATTGAGGACGCGACTAAAAGAACAAGTGGGAATGTAGCATAACGCCAATTTCGTTCGGATTCTAAGGGACATTGAATGGAAGTACATTCGCCATCTTGGACGATGTAACGACCTAGAAAGAGCTCCAACGAATCCTGTACAACATAAAATATTGTTCACAATATCATCAAAAGAGAGAAGAATGTTTTTAAGAATTATTTACCTGTCTATATCCATCGGCGAAATTGTTCTTGTAATATCTCGTCAGAGAATTTAAACCGTCTTTCATCGCACCCAATTTAGTACGTTTTCCAGTTCGCGTAAAGTCAGTTTTCAATGCCCCTGTACCTGAATATTGGATGCTTATTACATCTGCGTTATCCGCCCAAATCTAAAAATATTAATAAACAATTTTTTTTTCACAATTTTTTAATCAAAACTTTTTATTATTAAAAATTCATTTACTTGTCAGACTATCTCATTTTTATTATTATTTAGTATTATAATTATTATTTATCTATATATTATAAGACTACTCCTTGATTTTGTTTAATATTAAAAATTTGGAAAAAGTTATATGAAAAGTTATTTGAAAAAATAAAATACCTGTTTGAAAAGATTTTCAAATGCAGGATGATCTTCCACCTTTCTAAGTATCTCTAACCTGCTCAATACTTCGTTAAGAACTCGCTTCGCTAGCATGCTTTGTACAACATTTGTTCGGTCTAAACAGTCGATACAATTTGTCCGGAAAACACCATCTTGAGCCAAAAGCAATGCTCCGTCTCTCATTAATAAGAAATATCCCATCTGTTCTTGATCATGTGCTAATCGGTCCATTAAAGTGTTCAATTTGTCCCATCTCAGTCTTCTGCATTCCGCATGAAAATCAAAAGCTTCATATCGAATATTTTGGTTGTTAATTCTTTGCACTAAATTACGATATGCGTTTTCTAGCAATGCTTCTGGTCCACGTTGATCAATCTATTAAAAATACTGGTATGTTTATAAATATATAACAATAACAGTTTTTTCTACGAAATAAAAAATGTCTAAGCCAATCCCTGCAGATAGTAGGAATAATATAATTTATGAAAAAGTTTTTTTCACAATTAATTTAATTTTAATTTAATGTTAATTTATAATATCTAAATATCATAAATACATATATATAAATATAAAAAGAAAAAAAAAGAAAACTTACCAAATTCACTAAAATTTGCTTTCCATAATGAAAGATTTGGACATCAAAGTGACGAGCACAAGCGCTTTGATGATCCTCGTGTGGACTAATCTGCGGCTTTGGCTTGTACTTCAAGTTTGGTGCTTGACACCAAAACAGAGGAATGGATCCACGCGTTTGCACGAAGGAACTGCAATTGCCATTCACCTCGATCAGCTGCTCTGTCTCTACATAATTGGATACATTCCCAGTGGCATCTATACCACGTGAAAATAATCTTGTTCCAGCACGATGTATACCACGTCTAGAGACAATACCCCAATTGAATGCAACGCCATTTACAACCACTGTGTTTAGTGAGATGACTATATAATCAATTGTTAAGGGAGCTCATTACAGAAAAATATAAACTTAAAAATTTTAATGATATTATTGAAGGATACAGCCATGAATGATAGGTAAACAAAATTTGTATTGCTCTGGTCTTGCGCTTAGGTCCTGCAGAAGATACGCGTTCCATACGAACCTGGGATCTGCTCTGTCATGAAGTGGCATCTAAATAATGACATGTCCTTTACCATAAAACTTACAACACTAAAAAGTGGCAATCTAAACATACAACATATTTACTTGCAAGAATTCAGGTGTTGTGTTATGCAGCCTCTGCATAGTATGACTGAGGTCATAGGTATAACTGAAGTAAAAGTATGGTGTGTTTAAGACAGATTTTACCATCTCCAGGTATGTAGAATTATTTTGGACCTGTTTCTCAGTCAAATGCAAAAAGGACCTAGTATAGGGTATCACATCTGTTGAAGATATTTTAAAGATGTTATGCCCAGCTATAGTCCCACACATCTGAGCATCCGTAACAACAATAAGGTAACGACATGCCAAGAGATGTATAGTTCCTACCAGTCCCCATATTTTTCTACGGCTGGCAGTTGTTGGAATCTGATTAGCAGTGCCGACTACAAGGAAACAAAGATCATCAACTTTAGTTTAATTCAAACACATAAAATTGTCTGTTAATTACCTTGAGTATAGATCTGCTGACTCACTCTATCGACTACTAGTAGGACTTTAGTTCCAACTGATTCCACGAAAAACTTCTCTGGAGTGGCATATCTTGGCAAAAATACAATTGATAATTAGAGTGAGCAATAAAATTGGCAGCACACATAATTTTTCCACATGTATATTTTACAAAATAAAGTGCATTCTATGCAAATGTATTCTTTTTATAATCTACTCACAAGTATAAACTGTCATATATATCCATATTTGGCATCATATTGTCAAATGATAAATAGATCGGAAGCAAGTAGATATGCTGAGCAGAAAGACGAGCAAGCGAGAAAATAATAATAAAATAATGCTTGGGAAAAATAAATTACTATCTTCTAGTGAAACACAATCCATACATACACATAGTAATTATACAGTTTAGCTCCCTGCACCTCAAAAATCAATAAAATTAGACTTTTTCGACGCGTTTTTACGTAAAATGAAAGAATTGATACAAAAAAGGATAAACGTTGAGAATACCTTGATCACCACAAATTTTGATAAAAATATACTTAATTGATTTGTTTTCGCGTAAAAATTAAGATTTGATGAGAAAAGAACGTCGTTCTGCTCTGTGAACCGAAATATAAATCGTTAAAGTTGACGATTATTCAGGTTAGGAAATCTGTCACATCCACGAAATACTACAATCATGAAGACTTAGAAGCACAGATTATCAAAAATTAGAAGGAGACCTATAGTACAGTATAAGTACATACAGTATGGGCACTGGCGTCGGCACCTTTGATGTGGATCCCAGGTCACATGACTCGCCGCCATGTTGTGGATTGGAAAGGTGCTTATAAATTTGAATTTTTATAAAGCTACAGAATGATTTTTCTGAAAAAAAGACATAATTCGATCATGTCATGAAAATTGCTTATAGCGTATATATTTTTAAATCAGAATTATATAATAATATAATGTTAACGAACTTATTATATAAAGATAATATTCACATTAGTAATAATAATAATAATAATAATATTAAACAGTAATAAGTAAATTAAAAATAATAATTGATTAAATACTTTACGAAAATTGTAATTGAATAATTATGTATGAAAAAATAATATATTGCATGAAAATTGTAATTAAATAATACACGAACACACACATACCTATATATCCTAAATATCTAGCTCCTAAATTTTTTTCACATACGTACTCTAAATGTTTGAAAATCCCTCGACATACATCTGCGAGCAAAGAGATATTTCTTTGAAATTAAAATTTTTTTTCAGCGTAGTTCTTTTGGACACCTATCATGGAATAATAAAGGTACCGGTTCATGTATACGGAATCGGAACGACGGAACGAATTTATTATTAGAAATGAGTTCACTAGCATTTCGTTCCGTAAGAAATTTTTCTACTGTATTGGAACCACCAGAATCATGGCCGAAATGGTATAGAAACGATTCGGAATCAATGGAATGTCATATCGATTGCACACTATGTCGATCCGGCTATTGTTGATGATTGAGAATTTGACAACTTCGAAGAAGAAAATTAATAATAATTTTTATTTTTCAATAAGAATTACGACATATTCTTGTTTTACATATACGTAGTTCAACGAATGCCAGCAGTTCTTCAAATAATTTCGATATTATTCTGAAGAATTTCTCGCTCGGTCGTTTGCATTTCAACGGCTAAATTGTGCCTTAGAAACGCTTATTCTTTGTGTAAATATTGACTGTATCCAGAATTTTTGTTTTGTATATTTCTGCTGTTGCAATAAAACATTATAAGCGAAATAAAATTTTCGTCTACTCTTAAATATCGAAATAACATGCCACGCTTGGCACATTTCTTACCTTTCACAATAATTTTAACAGTAGTAATAACACTACTTCTTTATTCATCGTTGTAGATTTAAAAAGTTTCTGAATATTCATTCCAATTTTTAAATTCAACCAACTTAGCTGAACATGCCATTCCGTTCCGTAAAAATTTTCTCTACCCGTTCAATATAGCCGGAATACATTGGAATTTTGGTAACAAAATATATCTCACTCTTATAATTCAATATATTTGAGTATTCAAAGTAATGTTATAAGTAAGATAATTACACAAATTATACATATTACTGCTTTAGTCGCATTAAAATAACGAAATATCGATTAAATTAAACAAATTAGCTTGAGATCGAGGCGATATTCCGTCCGTTTTCATTCCGTTTCGGCTACATGGGACAGGAAGAGAAATTTCTTACGGAATGGAATTGTAATGAACTCTAGTAGAATTTTCTAGTAAAAAATCCGTTCTATCGTTCCGATTCCGTGTACATGGGACGGCATCCTAAGTAGGAATGGATTCTGATAGGAATTATTTAATTATTTCCTTATTATCTAGATTTCTATTGTGTTTTCTAGGAAAAATGGAATAATTCCGATCGGAATCATTTCGACATGATAGGTACCATGATAGGTATATTCGCAGCCCTATTCTTTAATTCTTAACACAAGTTTCATTATCGTTATTGCTGGAGTTTCATGTGTATTTGTCGCGTATCGCGTAATCGCGTAACCAATTAGAAGCGATCTGCTGTGGTTTCGTGTTTTACTGATTACTGGTTGGTTACACGTACGATTATGCGATGCGCAGCAAATACATCTCTTGAAGACTGAACTTGTACGGATATTTAGAACAATAATAAACAAAAATTTATTATATTGTAAATAGTTAAATAATTTTTAATAATAAATAATTAAAAAAGAATGTTTTAAATTATATTAGGTGTTGGAATTAATTCGTAGCGTTTTACAAGTGATGGGAAGTACTTTCATTAATGTATTTTTTAATGCTCATGTGAAATAAATAACATTCTTTCATTAAAAAACGCTACGAATTAATTCCAACACCTAATAGTTTTAAGAAGTACTCTTAAAATCATTTAATTTTTATTCTGGAAAATTTTTTCTAATTTTTTCTATTTCTTATAGTTTCGATAATATTTGCTTCGAAAGAAAAAAATTTTTTCGATTTTTTTTCGAAAGGTTTCGCACCGTCTAAACCTCGAGATAAACACAAATGGGTCTTGTTACATACCAATAAAATCCCCTTATTCTTTATAGAATAATATATTCGTCATAGGTATACAATTTATACTTTACTTTATCTTATCGCTAGATTTCCCTATTTTATCCTTATTTCGAAACTGGAAATTCCGTTTTTCTTTTATATTCAGTTTCTTTATTTGAACATTCAAACTCTAACAGATAGATCACGTTATGTACTTTTATGCGTCATAAAAATTATCTATAGAATATTCTAATATAAAAGAAAAACGGAATTTCCAGTTTCGAAATAAGGATAAAATAGGGAAATCTAGCGATAAGATAAAGTAAAGTATAAATTGTATACCTATGACGAATATATTATTCTATAAAGAATAAGGGGATTTTATTGGTATGTAACAGTCTAATACTTGTTTATGTTCTACAATATATCCAAAACTCATTAAAATCGGTGAGGGTTAGTTCCACAGCTCTCTTGTTATGCAGTGCTTAAATATATATTTCTTGTGTTATATATATATTCAGAATTTTATCGCGCGTCGAAATATTTTTTCGAATTTTAAACGCATTCATGAGCAGAACCAGAATAGTAATTTATTTATTAAATAGTAATAGTAATTTAATAATTTTTTGATGCTAATAAACATCTTTTAATAAGAATATTAATTGTCATATGTTGATAAAATCTAAAAATTGCGAATAATATATGAGAACACTCGCCTAGCAAGTAGGAGATCCGGATTCAATTTCTGATCTAGATAATGCTTTCTGCAATAAATTATTTGCAGTTTTTAGATTTCTTTCATCAACATAACATTAACAATTAATATTCTTGTTAAAAGATGCTTATGAGCATCACAAAATTATTTAATTACTTGTACAATTTAATAATTATATTAAAGATATTATTCTAGTTCTGCTCATGAATTTTAAAAGTATCTTTTCATGGTGACGCTCATTTTTAATGTTAAAATAGATCACGAGATCAAAATTGATGCTTAATATTTGTCAATTTCTATCACGTGATTTATTTTGACGCCGAAAATGAGCATCGAGCGTCAGCATGAAAGGACACCTTAAGTCCGGAAAATCATTTCGGCGCGATATGCCCAAAATCAATGCATATCAATTCACACAAAAAATATATATTTGAACACTAAGATTTATTCCGATCGAATCTAAGATTCTTCTTATTTAAAATTTTTCTTCTTATTTAAAATTATTCATGTTGGTCTAATAGCTATTTCGTATTGTTTATCGTGATTTTCTTTAATGTTGAAATAGCATTTATTATGTGGTAGTTCGCTGATATACATATATTCGCTGCGTAATGAATGCTTTATGCCCATTTCCACCAATATAGATTAACTTTAATTATTTCAATTTATTCTTCATCTTTTTTTAATCTTTAAAACTAGAAAAAGACGAAGAATAAGTTGATTAGAGATTAAAGGGCCGCGATCCGATTCACTTCTTGGGCCTATATTCTGTAACTGTTTTACATGCCACCGACAGTTGTCGGTGTTGCGCAGCTTTTTCACCATATAAAATATCTGCGCAACGACACTGACAATTATCGGTAGGGGTGTAAAGACAGTTATGGAATCGTGCCCCTGAATGTTTTGCGTAAGCAAAGTGACGTCATGGATTTTTGAATTTGCATGCTTACGGTGACCATCCGAAGATGAGTCCGGCATGAGCGTCCATTTTATTTGTACGGGAAAAGAGGACTAATATGAATTGTTAGTGTGGAATAGATGCATCCAGGTAGTATAATCGCTTACTAAAAATAATCAAATGTAATTGATAATAATATAATAATAATAATTAATAATATTAATTGTTTCAATAATTAAATGATTGATTGAATCGAGGTTATAACATCATTGATTACCACCGGATTCACATCACATTGAACTGATTTGACAACAAAAATTTATACACAACGAGCGTTTTTATCAATTCTTTCCGAAATGGTAGATACTCGCACGCTATTTGACAATATGATCCATATATATATATATATCTATTATTGAGTTTCTATTATACAAGTATGATACACAGGTTATGAGCCTCGTGATTTGATATCCATATCAACAGGCGATTCGAAATAAAATCATCGATAGCGCGATAACAAATCGGACTGATCATTAACATCGTGAGAATTGTAAACGCTGTGGGCGTGAATCGGACAGCAGCCACAGAAAACAGAAGGGTAAATACATGACTGTCAACAAGTTACGTCAGCCTCAAGTGATTTCGATTAATTCCGGAGTAGTTCGGGTTCATACAATATGAACTGTGTTCGCTTTGACGCTTACAGCACTTATGAACATTATTTGTTCTTGTTTAATATTTAATAAACAACAAGGATGAAACGATGTTTAAAGTGTTGTGAGCGACAAAGCGACATAGCCATGGTCACAAATCACGGCTACGAGCACGTCTGTTTATAAAATGATTATATTTTATAATCACAGATTAAAATGAAGTGTGTAGTAAAAGGCTGTAAAAATTATTATCGGAAAACGAAAAATTTTCCGGTGAAATATTTTTAATTTCCAAAAGATAAAACAATTTGTATTAAATAGTGAAGTCTGCAAATCGAGATATTTCGTTATCAAAGGTAAAGCTCTAAGAAAGTATATATTTGAGTCAGCGTTAGCAATGAGGAATTTAGTATTTTCGAAATGTGTGTTATACAGATAAATTAATTAATTTCAGAATAATAATTTATAATATTCATTTATATATAATATAATAATTCATTTATATATAATAGTTGAACATGAATATATCAGGTGTACAAGTATGAAATGCGGATTTTTTTCCAAAAAAAAACACGTTAAATTCGAAGAATGATAAAAAGTAATTTATTCAAAGTATTTTAATGTGTTTTTTTTGAAAAAAAAATCCGCATTTCATACTTGTACACCTGATATATAATAGTTCAACATCTTAACATTCAGACTGTAGTGGCGCTTATTTCCAATCTTATTGTTTATACAGGGTGGGCCATCTATTGCTACGTTTTTGAATTTCGTCGTATGGCAAAACCCAAGGAGCTACAGAACCGAACTTTTGACAGTTTA